GTAATAGAAACCTTCCATGACGCAATGAAATGATGACGCATTACGGGGTATGTTAACTAAAAAGGGAAATTTTGGTTGTCTATAGCAGTCTTTTGGACTTGAAAGCATACCAACAGTTACACATCACCTCATTTCATTGTAACTGATGCTTGCCCTAGTATTTTCAAATGTGGAGCATTCTCTTTGGTGAAAGATACGAATGCCACTTCCAGGGAAGGAGTCCAGATGTGCTATTTGTTTCTGGTCATTGCTGCTTGCATTGGGTCCTCCGTCTGGGGGCCATCTGAGAACGCCGCAGTCACCTGAGATAGAGTTGCTGGAAATGGCCGTTCAGGGGCGGCGGCGCGTCACTTACACGCCAGTATCATGCGCGTGAGTGAGAGGAGCACGTGGCGGGCTCACCGGCCGGGCGGCGGTCCGCTGAGCTGCCCCTGCATGGATCCGGACTGGAATGGCAGGCGTGTATCGTTAGGTGAGTGCTCCGCATAACCGGTATCACTGTTAGAAGCATGTCGACATCTGTTAATACTGGCCTGTATTTTCCGGAAATTCTAAAGGTGCATTAACAGCCACGGGCAACTAGTCTTACCTGTGCTGCCAGCTTGTCACTGTCTGCAATACCGCGAATTTAAAGGACGCGTCATTTGGTCATCAGGGGACAACGTTGACACCTGGTGGGTTAAATGACATGAATGCCGCGGTTTACGAAATCACGCAAAGAAGAGATGTCTATGGTAGATGAGTCGGACTTCTAAATATCTTTGCGCATGATGGATTCCGTTACAAAACCGCATGATTCAAGTCAGTTTTGTGGTCAGTGTGGCCTATGTCGTACATAAGTTCATTAGCTTTTTGTGTTCAATTTTAACTTTGCAAACGGTTTGATGATTAAATGAAGTTTCCCACATTTGTATGGGATTTCCTATTGAAATAACCATCTTGAAGATCATTCGGTGCAGTTCACCCCCTGCCCTTCCTAAGACCTAACACCCTCTAGTTTTTTAGTAGCACGCCCGCGAAGATGCGCTGACAATTTCGGGAGAGACTATTTCAAGTTCACCCGGGTGTCCATGACGCCTTAATAACGTCATTCAAATGCTGCCATTTCATTGGCCATGGGGCGATCAATTTCAAGAAAAATGTAATCGTTGAGTCATTCATATATGGCCTTCGCGAGTACGATTTCCAAATATAGCGGTCATCAATTGGCTCGCAATGAGAATTGTGCAAAGGACGACGACGTAATCAAACAATGACTTTATGAGGAGCGTACTTATCAAACAGAAAGTGAAGTTGACTAGAGTAATCTTTTCAACTTAGAAGTAAGCCTATAGTTGTGAGTAAGTTTATTCCATAATATCTGATGCATGCCTCGCTATTTTAAAATCTGGAACATTCCTTTTTATGAGTGAATAAGCTCAGAATGAAAATAAAGAGATTAATATTTCTGCTTTCATTCGGAGCCGTCATTCTAATCTCCGTCAAGTACCATAAAGATGTCACCGGAAATATCTGGTGAGGCCTTCCAAAATGCTGGTGTAAAAGACAAAATAACGCATTGATATCCTCAGACAGGGGCTCACACAACATGGCGGGTAAACTGTTTTAGGATAACGATATATACTGGACTATGGTACTACTTTTAGGGGCGTTATGAATTAAAATTTCGCCATTGAAACCAATAAGCAAAGAGCAAAAAACTGCACAAATTTAGGTAACACTTTACGGCACATGCGAACAAACAAAGCTGCCCCATAATAACCGTTTAGGAAAAGGGAGCTGAGTATTTGTTGTTTTGCGTTGTTGACATGGGCGACTCGTCACGCGCAATTGCCGGCTTTGACGGTGTGAGAGAAACGTCGTGTGTGGTCCTGAGTTTCAGCGAACGCCAGTGAGCAAAGGCTGAAGGTGGGTGGGTCGCGGATTTCATTGTCGGTAATATACGGCTCCTATTCATTGTCTGCGCCTTAGATGGGATAAATGTGAGCAGAGCGGTCCGTTGAAAGGGCCTTTGGCTTTGAACGGGAACGGACAGACGAATTGCGACTCAACCTTGGTTGGAAACTGTGCTAACATTCTTGGAACGTTCGATGCTGCCTGGATTTTAAGAAAAGTGATACATCGAGTGATAAAAGTGCTCAATCTTAAAGACGAATGAATGGTGTAATGCTCACATTTCTATGCGTCACGTTACCGTATGTCCAGTGGTTTGACAGTAGTATGCTGAGATTGGGTTCTGGAGATGCTTAGTACGAATTCCTAGGCGGGCGGGCGTTCTGCCCGACTGACGACGAACGGTCTGCTGGCAACTGACCAAACCGGTTCAGCGAGGTTCGAACGGCCGAGTCGAGGTACCGTCCCACACTTGCACCCCGCGTTCATGTCTGGCAGAAAGGTGGCAGGCAAAATTATTCAGTAAAGTGAACTGGCTTGCCATCAGTGGCCTGCTCAGAAAATGCGTCACACGCTTTGTTGATCAAGTTTTATGAACACAAAAAGCATACCGCTAAGCATTTGAAGCGGCTGCTGAAAAATGGGGTTCTACAGTAGCGTGGATCTCCGAGAAAGCAAGGGTACAGCCATGGGCGTTACTTTTCTGCTCTCGGACGATGGCTTGAGTCCCACGATGCTGACGTGAGTCTCAAAACCAAATAAACCGAACCCAGATAAAAAATCGTTGCATCACATTTTCGGAATCTATGAGACGTCTATGGAGAAACATTACTAAGATACTAAGGCCCAACCGCCGCCCTGTGCTCGTCCTCGAGAAGCCTTAGCGTGGGAACGTTTCGAAGGGAGAGGAGGGGCAGAGATGGCGGTTATTGTCCGCTCGTAATTCACATAGTACATGTTGCAAGTAAATTCCCCAGTTGCCATGCTAGATACATGTCTACATCGTTTTTCCACTGCACAATTTTACCTCCTTACTCAACCATGCCATTCGGCAAATAAGACTGTACAGCTATGTGAAATGATTTTCCCATTAAAACCATGCTTTCCTTGGGGAGGCGAAACGCCATGAGCGGATAGGCATTTCGGATCATTGAGGGGGGAGGGAACAGCATCTACCTCCACATGGTAGATACCAAAATACGAACTGGACACATGCTGTGAATGTGCTGGACACATGCTTCAGAACTGTGAATGCAAATGGATGGCCCATGATGCGCTAGAGGTTCCATGCGCCCAGATTTCGCCGGCTGCTTTTCAAGATATGAGATTTGTTGCAGCATTTTAGGCCGAAACAAATTCGGAAGCTCCAAATATTAACTGCCAAAAACAAGGTGACCAGAAACCATAAAACTGGAGTTTCTACTGCAAAAAATCACAGAAAGCAAAAGCGTCTTTCATGTATTTCTTATCTGGGCCCTGTTTCCGTCCCCCATCGGCGGCCTGTGCCCTGGCGCGGCTGTGCCTGCATGAACGACTGGAAACTGACCGTATGACTGCCTTGCGTGTGTATGAATCAGCATTATTACTTATTATGTGTAAAAATATATTGTACATCCGCAAGAGTGTCTGTTTCCGAATTATCTTTTCTTACACAACACTGCAGCAAAAAGTAGGTTTTCAGGGATCCGCGTGCCTAAAGAATGAATTGGTCTAACGGACATTGATTAGCCACGCATTCAACGTACCTGACTAGCTTTGCTTTTGTATGTAGGCGACGGTGCAACCAGGGCCTTGTCACGAGGATGGCAGAGAGTTGATATAAGCCTCTTGATGATACCCTCCCCCCTCCTCCCAAAAATATAGCTTCTCCACAAGAAATCATAATATTCATTGAGCTGTTAATAAGGGTAATTGTTAAGAAGAGCATGGTTTTCTCTGTTTTATTGTTAATTCTATTTTGTAGCCAGCACAGAAACAGAAGCCACAAACTAACCGAAGATCATCCTGTTTGCATTTTAAAGTCCATACACTGCAGAAATCAAGCGTGGAACGACTGCATGGAATAAATCACCAGCGCTCTCTTCTTTACAGTGGTTCAGCAGACTCTCTCTAGAAACTATAACTCAGAAGCTCTGGCAGATTATCATGTGTTTTTCCGAGATATTGAGAACTCACTGAACGTAGATCGTAATCGAAATGAGTTCCCAAGTTTGCATTGACATAGCTATCCCACGTTCGCATTAAAATATTAAATCGTCAGTCAGAAACGGCTTCTGATAAAAAAAAAATGTGCCTGGCTTTGCGCATGCGCGCTCGCAAATCTTAGCAACAACAGTCTCGACGCCTAGCGTTGCAGTCTCCATCGGGCGCGCTACGCCGGCCTTCCGGCTGACGCTAAGCGATGGTCAATTGGCAGAAGATAAGGATGACGCATCTGCAAGAAGATGGGTGTTGAGCTGGGTAAATTGGCATGCATATATAAGGTAGCATAAAAGTAAGCTAAACGCACCATCAATCTGAAAAGGGGCTGGCAGTTAACATTACCGCCCTCTGACTTTGGAAAGTGGGGGTAAAGCCTCCCTGCCTTTCCTGTTCTTACACCCATGTCAAGAGATGAGCTCTTCGAGATGAGCATAACTCGAAATACTGTCAATACAATCATTGTAAACACCGCATCGCCATTTCATCAGTGCGTCGTTATGAACTGCAGATCGCTAACTCAAAATAATGAAGAAAATAAGAACTTTACCAATTGAACGAAAAAAACAGGAACTGGAAACTTTTTTCTTACATCAAGTCAAAACTAGAACCACAGATTAAAGTGGACTCTGAACTCCTGAACTGAATCGTACTCCTGAACTCCATGCGGAAATGCGTGAGGGAAATAGGATAATTAAGGTTGATGGGTTGTCTCTTGGATGAAAACGCAAAATCCCATAAATGAAATCACTTATGTGATGATTTTTATATTACGAACTGCGTTAGTTGCGTCTAGTGCCGGTACGAAGAATGTTAGCTGTGTTTTACCTTAACCCTTTATATGCAGTGTTTTAGTACGTAACGTACAGCTCAATACTACCGACCCCGAAAAACGGATTGACGTGTACGGCCAAGATGGCGTCGGTGGAGGGCGACGCCGGAGCCAAGAAATTGGACAAATTAAGAGTGGTAGACATCAAATCTGAGCTTAGCAAAAGGGATTTAGATGTGAAAGGTGTCAAATCAGTTCTGGTCGACAGACTTAAGAAGGTAAAAGATGTGGGCCGCGGAACTCGTCAGTAATGCTGTGCGGTTCGTCAGACCGTTTCAATTGATGTTTTTAGGCCGGTATGAAGTATTCTGGCGATGATATAACCTTAGTTTTGTTTATTTAAGACAACTTCACAGCTATCGATAGTCTTTCAACTTGCGTAGGGGTGTAAAATGACTGAATTACATTCCACATCGGTGGTTTTCAGTTCGTTGTAGGCACAAATGGCGCTCATCTTCTGTGTCATGACAATGTAACGTGCTGCGGTGATGTATTTTCGGCTCAATACTGGATGTTCCGCAGTCATGTATTCATCATATTCACTTCATTTGTAGTAATCAACAGTGTGGTAAAAATTTGTGGTGCAGCAGCTTCACTCTGTTAAAGGTCGTCATTACTTATTTGCGCCCATCTCAAGCATCTGCCTATATACTGGTCTGTAAAACGCTTCTTCTTTGTCAGTTGACTGCCAAACCTTGGTGTGCAGAATCTGGTGCACATGGGTTTTAAATACAGTCCAGTTTTAGAGTTACTTGTTATGGTCACCACATGACTAGGGTAGTTAATCTGCCTGAAAGCACAAATCATTAGTTTTTGTTCAGGCCCTGGGATGGTCTCTTTAATTGGGAAAGCTGAGATTCATTGGTTTTCCTTTTAGGCCTGATCCTTTTAAATAGCAAGATTGGATGGTGCATTTGGATGATTGCCACCATATCCATGTGAAAGCACAGAGTCTCAGAAGTTCTTTGGCCATATTGGTTATGGGATATGTATTTAGTTTTACTTATGTGATGATAATATGAAAAATAGGAAAGTCTGTGAGAGCCAGATGGGTGCTTTGCATAAGGATCCTAGCCTTCACTCGCTTGATGTGTTCAGATGTATTGGGGTTAAATGAGGCTGATTGTTAATGAAAGTTGATTTTGCTGACCATTATGTTTAAAGCAGACAGTTTCCAGCTTGTGCAATTTAAATAAAGCAAATATTTGAACTATATTTTATCATTATAATATGATACCCATATTATATGGGTCTGCATGAGAGTTGTTCAGGGTAGTTTTATGAAGTGCTACCAGCATTATGGTTGTAAAACATGTTTTGGCCTTAGCAGGTGCATATCATTTAAAGTTAATATTTTTACTTTATCATTTTTAGATTATGTTTAAAGGTGAATATTGGTATTTGTACTTCCATGCTTAAGGGCATTAAGTAAATAACTCATCCAAGGCATTGCAGAATAGTTGTTTCACTTCAATGTCTGAACATTCTCAGCATCTGCAGGTTTGGTAAATGTTGTGAGGCATATGCGCATTGATGCCTTGCTGTATACGCTTATGGTGTTTTCTGTTTTCAGGCTTTGCAAGATGAAGGAATCAATCCAGATGAATATTCTTTCAACATTGATGAAAAGACATCACGGAAGTCTAGTACGTATATTCGCTTTGTGCCTGCATACCTCCTCTGATTGTGGGGGTCATTTTGTCATTACATGAACTGCTCTCATTTATTATGGTTAGTGGGGTATTTGGGTGTGCAGACTGCAGTTTTCAGATGCACTCATGAGTCCTTTATTCTTCCAAAGCCATCACAGGGTTCGGAAAACTCACATGTGGTGTGATGTCGTGATCTGCATCATTTACTAAGTACTGCCAGTCCTCATTTACAACTCTGTCATATTTTATGTCTGGATATGTAATTCTAAAATATGGTGTAAAGAAGCTCAACATCAACTGATACCTTCCATCTGTTGATGGAACATCAATGGTCTACTGTGTAATCATGCACATTACAGAACCTGCTGGCTGGTGGAGTTAAATAGGATGTTATTACACTGTGCATGAATGATTGTTTTGTGAACTTTGTGGCTCATGATATTTGTTAAATGCCACTTTGTTTTATATAATCATGTCATTGTGTTGGAAGCCAGGCCACCTATTTTGATGGCTTAAGGTATTCATGTGCTTACACTCCTCTGCGAATCTGCTATGCTCTTTTGTTTATGTTCCTTGTTTTAGGAGGATTGTGTTGCCTTTCTGGTTGAAATAATATTTTGCACCTGAAAAGCTTAGACACATCTGATTTAAGCCACATTGCAAGGCTTTTCAAGCTTTTTCAATAGCATAGCTTTCCTGCCCAAAACATTTAGACTGATTCTGTTTCAGGCTATAAGCATTACCACATTACCATTTCAGCCTAAGATGCATGGTGTGGAGCAGCACACTGTGGTAACTTAATAGCCTGGCACATTCATAGCCCATTGTCTTTGTCATAGCTTCTAGAAGTGGTACACCTGTTACATGTAGGATCACATTAAAAAGTTAACAGGTAGCTGTATAATGCATGATGAGGGTCAGTAATCAGTGGATTTTTTTGGAAGTAGCATCATGGCCATCAAAGACAAAAACAAGGTTCTGAGCTGAAAATGCAAGGCTATAGCATACTATGATTTTCACAAATTATCTGCACAAATGCATTACAATTGATCCAAAAACAAAAGTTGAAAGACTGCAGGGTAGTTCCTTAGTAGTAGTAGTTCCAGGGTAGGGCAGGGCTGTAGTTATTGTGGTGCTTTGATGATGCTATCAGATGTTGTATACTTGTGGCCAAGTGGAGAGAAGACAGAGGCACAGGGTTTGATCCCCTGCAGTACCCACCCTTCCTGCCAGGGTGGGATGCAGGCAATACCATATAGCCTCAGCAGCTGAGTGTAGGTAAAGCCCCAATAGCATGCTACACACTAAATGGTTGGCATGCCGTCGGCTGTATGGGTATTGGAATCTGCCCAACATGTAGGCTTAACAGGCACTGTACTTGTGCCCCATTGTTTATAATGTGGCAAGAGATCAATATAAAATGAAACAAGCTAAAAAAAATCAAGCTGAAGCTCTGAAAATAGTGTATTTTTTACTGCATAGATGCATGTTCATGAAGACATTTTGCAAGAACAATCTGGAGAATGTGCAGTCTAGTTTAAGTTTAGTACCCCATACATGTGTCTGGCTGTCAGTAATGATGGATCTTTTGGCCTCATGCAACAAGCTCTGCTTATTGTGGACACTGGTCCCTAGGATTCATCACATCACAAAGGCTTAGGTTAAATATTAAAGGAAGCATTCACGTCAGGTTTACAAAAGTGTAGGCATGTTTACTGTGTGAATAAACTGGCATACCCATTCCAGTGTGACAGTGATGGCTGCCTGATATGTGATCAGTTAAAAACAACCATCTCATGTTCAGGCATTCCCTGTGGGGTGTGGCTGGTCTTAATACCGATTTCTTGCATCAGGCCTAAACAAATCCCTTCTGTTGCAGGGGGCAAATCAGAAGACAATGCTGAAGGAGAAGAAGCAGAAGACAAGTGCATGGATACCAGCCAGGAGATAGGTGATGAGTCCGAGAGTGCGGCGGCCGCCGAGCAGCAGGAGGAGATGGACACCGACGCCGAGCCGCCGGCAGCGCAGCCAGCCGATGTAGCCGCTGCCGATCAGCCGGCAGCTGCGGCTGCCGCCGATCAGCCAGCTGCAGAGCTGGAGAAGCCGGCAGAGGCAGCTGCTGCTGACCGGCCAAATGCAGGAGCAGAGCAGTCGGCAGAGCCGGGGCCGGAGCCGGCCGAAGCCAAGGCTGATGCTGCTAATGCGACCACAAAGGAGGTATGTACCAGGACATTGGCTACGACGCTGCTTTGGTGTCCGGGTTGTATGCTACATGTCTCTGTGGTGTTTGGTCCCAAATGGTATGTTCCTGGCATTTCTCATGTCTCAACCCATGTAGATTATGTGCAAGAGTTTCCACCAGTTGTATTATGGTATGTGTGAAGTTTCCCTTCATTTGATACTGCTGGTCAAGTCAGCTGGTGTGCCATGTGCGCAGGACTGGATGCATGGTGTGGCAGAGCTTCTCTGATAATCAGATGTTCCCGGATAGTCAATGTCACGTTGTTACTGTGTGTTGGTACCCCCACCCATTGCCGTGGTATCTAGGTGAATATACCTCGGAGCTACCGCTCCTGGCTGGCTTCTGTGGAATCCCAGTTCAGTCACTGAACCACACTGTGTGGTATGTAATAATTAATGTGTTTTTGCAAGTTCACTGCATCAGTATAAGCTGACATTTCTGGAAATGAGCTTCCATGCACACAAGCGTCAGGTAAGTTCTATGTTAAATTTGCGGTAGTCGTTTGGGAGGGTTGCATATTTTTCAGTTCTCTTGTTGGCTTGCAGGACATTCTTGGTCTCAAACTACCAGTTGATTGTGATGCCAAATAATATTTGTGTTGTGTGTTTCAGGAGACTGATGAACAAGAGGGAGATTCACTGAATATAACCCTGGATGAAGATGACCAGAATCTTTTCAAAGACCAGGTGATTTCCGTTTCAAGTCGTATCTAAAACAGCGAGGTTATTTGTCGCGATTTATAGGATCTCCCTCCGAGTTTGGAGTTAGCACTTTTCTATCATGAAAGTATGTTGCACTTGCCTGTAACAATGTGTGGGTGGTACCATTTTGTGTTATCCCGATCCCGTTCCATAAATTATTCCTTCAAGCACAGTATTTTGGGGAGTTATAAGGGTGCCAAATTCATTTATCTGTGTGTGTGCGGTCCTCAGGTCTGAGAAGCTGAATGTTCATCTTATTTGCCATGCATTTGCCTTCTTTTTTTGCTGACATTGTGTTCCCTCATTCTCAGGATGACAATGGTGCCGGCTTTGTTGGCAAAGGTACGTTTGCTCCTACACATTGTTTGGGTTGTGTGTTATCTTTGGGCAATGTGCTCCAATTTGGCAGCATTTGGATTTATTGTCTGATATGTGCCAACAGTGGATGCATGTCTGGCAGCAGCCGACCCATGTATGTGACGTCGCGGTCTAACATTCGTGGAATTTGCGGAAATATGGCGAAGAATTTACGCACTAGGCTCTCACTGGTCGTCGTACGGACGTCCTGGCGGACTTCATTTCTCTGAGGCGTTTGTTCGGAATCGAGGATTTTCCTGCGTGGCCGAACTCCACATTTACATCACGAATTTGGATTGCGAGGAAGTAGCGACGCATTCCACGAAATGGATCTCCCCCGCCCGTGATCGTTCATCGAAACCACCTCGAGTACAGTCGTGGCAGTTTTCGCGTATGCGGCCAACCGTATTTCGCTAGCGGCCGCGGAACGGCGGCGAGCCGAGGGAGCAGCGAGCGCGGGAGTGGTACCGCGCCCGCCTCCGATCGGCGCCGCCCCGCGCGTCTGTGGTGTCACCGGCCGCCGCCCAGCCGGCCGCCAGTGCCGTAGCCCCCCGGCCGGACCAGAAGGGTCGCCCCCAGCGAGGCCAGAAGGGCCGCCCCGGCCGCGTCTGGGACCGCCGCAAGCCGGAGCTAGCAGGGCGGCCCGACGTGCGGCTCTTGAGTGAGTCAGAGAGCTGCAGCAGACCGGACCAGTCAGTCGTCTGCGCCAATGCAGGGAAGCTGGCTGAGACAGGCAAAGTGAAACTGAAAAAGAAAAGTCGTCGAATCGAGTTGTTCAGCGTTCGAGTTCGTGCGTCGTCTTCATTCGTAACATGCCATCAGTAGAAAGAATCCATCTCAGAAATGTTGAAGACGAACACAATCTGAAACGTGACAAGATTACTGGCAAAACGACCACCCAACCGTTGCACGTTGCGTCGTCGAATTGCAGCGTGTGTTGCACTGCAAGTGTGCCGATGGGCGCCACCGGCTGGCGGGGTCAGCTCTGTCAGAGAGCGTTGCCTGTGTTGGGAGCGTGGCCAGGGGCCGCCACTGGCGGGGGGCTGGACGGCGCAGGCTGGCGGGGAGCCGCCGCGCTGGGCGGCCGGTCCGCGTGGCGCCACAGGCGGGCGGGCGGCCGGCGCAGCGGCGCAGCGGCGCCGGAGCCGGAGCCGGCGCGGTGCCAGTACGGGCTGTGTCGTGTGTTCACAGTGGCGGGAGACGCCTCGTCGCCGCCGCGACCCGAGTCGGTGCCCGTGCTGCGTCCGTTCACCGTACAGGACACCATACAGATGGCCACCGTCTCGGCCAGGCGGAGGAAGGCTGATGACACCTCTATGATTGTTAATATAGATGCCATGAGCGAGCGAACAGATCCTGACCTGGTGGTCAACGGCACCGGCGACGTCGACGCATCGACCGGCAAGTCGGAAGCCAAGTCGACGGGCGCCGCGGCCACCGCCTCCCCCAACTCCTCCGCCTCGACCGCCGCCGCCTCGACCGCCGCCGCCAGCGCCGCCGACGCCGGCCAGAGCAGCGAGCCCGGCGCCGCCGCTGCCGCCGCACCCGCCTCCGCCGACGCCGCCGGCGCCGCCACGGACGACGGCGCCGACGCCAAGAAGGACGACCAGACGGGCGACGACGCACCCGCCGACGGCGAGAAGGCGTCGGACGAGGCCAAGCCGACGACGGCGGAGGGCGGCGAGGGCAAAACAGAAGACGGAGACAGGTTGGTGGTCCGGCTCTGATCGGCAAGTACCCGTGTCTGGCCGCTGTGTGTCCGATGGCTGTGTCTCGTGTTGTGCAGTGGACGGGGTGCACGGCGCGCTCGCGGAGAGGGACAGGCGGGGCACCTCGGCACGCCCCGGCCTCGCGCACAGCCAATGCTGACCGGTGCTCCTGACTCGTGCGTGTGTGTGTGCGTGCGTGTGTCGCTCTCTCGTCTCGTGGGTGTGCCCTGTATGACAGTCCTAGACCGGCCGTCCGAACGATAGTGTATAGTGCGCCGCCCGACGCGGGCGCTGGCCCCCTCCCTCGTCGCCCAGAAGTCGTCAGAGCCGCGCTCGTGGAGGCGACGCTGTCGACCGCAGCTGCCGCCGCGGAATCTGCGCGCCCGCCGCGACGGGCCGGCCCGGCGCCGTCCAGCCTGAGCTCGAAGACGGCGGTGCTTCAGCCGTCTGAACGCGGCCGTACGCAGCCGGCGCGCGCCTCCATCGTCTGCCGCCGACGCGGCACCGCCCAGCCCGGCGACCTGTCGGGGCGGGCTAGCCATGACTGAGCGGACTGTGACGATGTGCGGCCACCCACGGGGCGAGGGAACCGACGCGCCGGTCGCCGTCTGACGCATTGTCCACTTTTGCAGCAAGCCGGCCGGCGACGCGGAGAAGAAGGCTGCCGACGATAAAGGTGAGCGAGGAACCGACCCGCACAGCCAGCTGTGGCTGTGACAGCTGACTGACAGCCGATCCGTCACAGGTCACTGTGACGGCTGACGGTGGCAGCCGATCCGCACAGCTGGCTGTCAGGGATGACGGTGACAGCCGATCCGTCACAGCTATCTGTGACGGCTGACGGTGACAGCTGATCGTGACAGCTGGCTGTAACGGCTGACGGTGACTGCGGTGACAGCCGATCGTGACAGCTGGGCGTGCCTGGTGATGAGTTTGTGCGGGGTTTGTGCCTGCTAGAAGGTGTATGGCTGAGTAGTCGTTTATGTGAGGGTGTCGGTCGGCGTCTGTAGGCCGCCTTGAAATCCCAAGATTTTTCGCTGGCTGTTGACGTAGTTGTTGCATTGAAAGGACGTAACTGTCGTGCTAGTAACGCCACAGCCCAGCTGTTTGTCGTGAGATAACGTCAGGGATAATCACACATCTGTGGCAAATTCCATTATTTCATTGAAGGCAAACTGCCCAAACAATCTGCGACCCATGACGTTCGGTTTTCTCGTCATCAGAGAAAAACAAGGCGAACCGTAACCTGTGGGTGAGTGGCCTGTCGTCCATGACGCGGGCCACCGACCTGAAGACGGCCTTCTCCAAGTACGGCAAGGTGATCGGCGCCAAGATCGTGACGAACGCGCGCACGCCCGGCGCCCGCTGCTACGGTTACATCACGATGGCCACCACCGAGGACGCCACAAAGTGTATCGGCAACCTGCACAAGACGGAGCTGCACGGCCGGATCATCAGCGTCGAGCGCGTCAGTGTCCCCCACCCCCTCCACCCTCTCCGGCACGCGCGCGGTGCGCGGCGGCGCCAGGCTCTGGGTGTGGGTCCACATGAAACTGCCGGAACTAAGGGAGTGCGGCACGCGGTGCCATTTGATATTGAGCAGCAACGGAGCGGCCGAGACTCGTGTTTCACGGTGTAATACAAACCGAATATGTTCCAATGGACATCGATCTGACCGTGGGGGTTATCCGCGAACTGATCTTCCCGCCCACGTTCTGCCCCACTGACGACCGCCGTCGGCCGAGCGGCCGAGCGGTCTGACCGACCTTTGTCGGTGCCCGCAGGCCAAGAGCGACAGCAGCGTGCCGGACCGGCGGGCCGGGGACGAGCGGGACGACCGGCACCGCGACCACCGGCGTACCGACTACCGGCGCCGCTCGGACGACACACGCCGCCGTGATGAGCGGCCGCGTCGCGAACCGGCGCCGCGTCGCGACGACGCCCGGCCCGCCGCCGAGCCGGCCGCCGACGGCAAGCCGGCCGCTGAGGCGGCCGCGGCGCCGCCGGCCGAGGCGGCCGGCGCCGAGCCGGGCGCGTCCGCTAAGGAGTCGGGCGGCAGCGGCGGCGGCAGCACCGGCGGCCGCGGTCAGGAGCGCTCCGAGCGGCCCGGCAGCCGGCGGCGCGAACCCGAGCCGGCCGGCGAGCGGCGCCGGCCGCCGCCGGACCGGCGTGAGGCCGCCTCGTTCCGCGGCCGCCCGCGTGGCGTGCTCACATTCCAGCAGATCAAGGAGGAGCGCGAGCGGCAGCGGCGCCGCGAGCAGGAGCGCGAGGAGCGCGAGGCCGAGCGGCGTCGGCGTGAGGAGATCGCGCGCGCCCGCGAGCAGGATCGCCGCAACCGAGACGAGGCGTTGAAGCTGGAGAGGTGAGCGCGCCGCGATGCTCGCATAGCGGTCTGGGTCGGCGGCTCGGGTTACTTCGGTCGATGCAGTCATGCTGATGGTAACTGGTTAGTGAACTATTCATGATACTAAAGTATTTTGATGCGCGCGTTCAAACGAGCTGAGGGTGTCTGGGTATGAGCCCAATCTGCTGTCGTTGGGTGATGACGTCACTGGTATCGGCTGGGCGCCACTCAGCACGTCTGACGTTCGGCGCTTCATCGGCAGGGAGCGCGAGCGGTTGCGGCTGGAGCGCGAGCGGATCGAGCGCGACAAGGCCGAACTGCTGCGGCTCGAGCGCGAGCGGCAGCGCGCCGAGCGCGAGAAGCTGGAGCGCGAGCGCGAGGAGCTGCGCCGCGCCGCCATGCGCATCCAGGACGCCAAGCGCAGCATCAAGCGGCCGGCCGAGGAGCCGGCGTACCCGGAGCGCAAGCGCGCGGCGCCGGCCGTGGCGCCGGCCAGCGCCGTGCGCACCAGCAGCTCGCACTACGACGACCGGCGGTACCCGGCGTCGAGCCGCGACTCGGTGCGCAGCGCGGCCAGCAGCAGCGGGCGCGACTACGGCCGCGGCGAGGACCGGCGCGTCAGCGAGCGCTCCGAGCGGTACGAGGCGGCGCCGCGGCGCGATGAATACCGGCGCGAGTACCGCGAGCCCGGCCGCTCCTCCCGCGACGTGTACGACTCAAAAGGTGAGGCCGTGGGGCGCAGGCTCGCTATCCACACCGCCGTCCCGGGTGAGCCCTGAGACACGCTGCGTGCGCTGGCATAATATTGCGTGCTCTTTACGTTGAGATAGCGTTGCGTGGTCTACACGCTGGCAAAACATTGCGTGCTCTTGACGCTGGGATAAGACTGTGAGCTCTATATGCTGTGATGACGCGCACAGGACTAGAATAACTCTGGTCATTGGTGTCGGCAAGGTCAGTGGTTCTCCGCGTCCGTTTTGTATGTAGGGCTGGTCCGGGATGGGTGCTCTGTCGTGTGAGGCGTAGCTCCGCCGTGCTGTAGCGGTCGGCTGGTCCGGGCTCCGACTGACCGGGGCGCGCTGTGTCGGCAGGCGGCGGGTCCGGTCGACAATACACGGACCGCTCAGGCGGCACCTGGCACAGTGGCGGCTCCTCGCGGCCCTTGGGAAACGGACAGGCGGCCCCTCAGAGAGACCATCAGGCTTGGGGGGCCGCTATGGACCGCAAAACGGACTCGAGCCAGCAGTGGGGGCGCGGCGGCGCTTCTAGCGAGTCGTCCTCAAGGTTGGTCGGAGCCGGGGCCGGTGCTGTGTGGCGGTCATGCATGGGTGGTGTGGCAGTTTGGAGGCTAGGCGAGAGGCGTCAGAGTGCGGTTCGGTATTTGACTGTTGCGACGATGTCGACCCCGTGTTGCGTGCCACTCTCGAGTAACTTGGATGTGTAGCTGAATGTAGGCTCTTCCCCGACAATATGAAGAAGTGTTATTTCCAGAAAATATCCAGCATATGTGCAGTGGGGGGGGGGGGGGGGCTCCAAAGCTCTGCACCTCATTCACGTCGAATGTGTTTTGTTTTGTTGAGTTTGTCGTCATGAGTGTCGTTAGCCAGCCGGGGCGGCTGACGACCGTGTGGTGCGCGCAGGTGGGGCAGCAGCGGCGTGATGCGCCAGCCGGCCGTCAGCAGCCTACCGGCGGGCGGCCTCAGCGGCTTCCTCAGTCCCGCCGCGCTCGGCGTCGGCGGCCTCATGAGCCCCGGCGTATTCGGCTCCGTGCCGCCCGAGCGCTTCGACGCCTACAAGATGCACAGCAGTCTGCCTCGCCGCTACTGAGCGCCGCCGCATTAGAGGAGCCCACGCCAGCCGTGGCGACGGCGGCACGGCCGGCGGAGGGCGTCCCTAACGGGCGACCGGCGGCACGTCTGTAACATTTCATTGTCGGCCGCGCGTGCGGCACATCGCCAGGAGCCGTGTAGTACTATCCCGCCGAGCCCTGGCGACCGGCGCCGGGCAGTGTGAGTGGGACGTGCACCGGCCCTGGGACGTCAGTGCAAGGTGTAGTCCGGCTGGCGGCAGCGCGCAAGCTCGGCTCCTCCGTTGGGAGAGTGGTTTAAGCCGTGGACCCTGTCTGTGTGCTCCTGGGATGTCAGTGTGTGTTGTTCGTTACGGCGCGAGATCATAATCGCTTCAATACACGTTTTGGATCCACTCGATGCCAGCACGCAGTATCAGTGAGATGAGCTTCGGCCGGACCCAACCCCGGCACGGCATGTAATGAGGCTCGAATTCGGCGGATATGCGGCATAGGTGAAAGGGTGAATAAACTGCGTCATATATCGAACATTTGGACACACAGATGTCCTGCTCAGAAGCGCGTGTGAACCTGCTATGAGTGTTATCCTCGGTCTCGCTAAGGTATCTTCGCTCTCGTCCAGGTGGGGCGGACATCCCCGGTATCGAAGTTGAATTCGAAATAAAAGGAATAGATTAGTCAGAATTGTGTTTACAGGACCATTGAGTTTTACGAATGGTTCATGAACTGGTTCACATCGCAATGGAACATCCCGTGCTCTGATATGCAAGTGAATGTGACTGGGATCGTTGCAGGGTGAGACTCGGACATTGGTGTAACGTAAAACGGCTCGTTTGATTATTCATCGTATGAATTGGGCTCATCAAAGTCCAACACTAAATAGTCATCTTGGGACACGGAGTGCTCGAAGATGCGCTATGTCGTCCCGGGAGAGAAAGGAGATCATCCGAATGATGCGGGGCGAGAACTAGGACGCGTTGGAGGGGGAGGCAGGTACAAATTCATTCAGTAGGCTGTTACCCTGATGCTTCGCGTTTAGCGGCCGCTTTTGAACGATTAGGCATTTGTTCACTGGTTGCACCGTTAAAAAGCATTTGTCTTGTGGTGAGCTTACTTTGCTACAAAAAAAAAACGCTGCACAGGATCATTCCTGCGCGTTATGCAGAATATGCGGAAGGATGGCACACGGGGGAAAATTTACTGCGTACCTATTTCGTTTAATATTTGTGCAAAATTACCCAATTGGTACTATAACGCTTTTGATACTATTTTACCTCAATTTGAGGTCATTTCACCCAGTGTGTACCGTTGATCGCGGAAGGGGTGTTACAAGATCTGAGAAAATGCTCTGAGTATCTTTGCACTACTTTCGTTTACATCTCATTATTTTCAGTCACTCCGAAGCAGATACGAATAGTCAGTATTCAGTCGGGGTTAATCCAGTCCCCCTCCAGAACCTGGTCTTAAGCCTCAACTTTGAGCGGAGAGAAATACGCTTGTCGACGTACTTTAGGTATTTTTCGTCATAGTTCAAAATTCAGGAATACACAAAATGCATAAGCTATGAAAAATAAATGGGGCCGAGGGCTGCAGACCCCGCACCGGGCGACTCATTTCGGGACACTACACGGCATAAACTAAGTATGCACATATATTACTAACGAGTATGTTATCGTCCCCTCTTACGTGGGCGCATCAGTAGTAAAGGACATTGATCACCGCCAACGCGGTCAGCCGGAGCCGGCCGCCGCAAGTCACCCTCAGCCAAACAAACTTTCCCCAGCGTTCCGCACACATATCGATCATATTTCCTACGGAACCTTATTTATCCGCATCTACCCGGATTGACCAGGCCAGGTCAAGCATACTTAATGGCCACGACCTACCGAACCGACGTCACCGACCCAGCACGACGTAGTGGGCCGGCTCCAGACTCGGCTGCACACCGTCGGCCATCTAGACGCCGCAACACCATCGTCCGAGAGCTGACGGGGCGGCTGTCATAGCGCCGACCGCCGACCGAGAAGTCGTGGTCACGTGGCGCGCGACAGTCGTCGTCACGTCTCTGAGGCCATCCGACTCCTCAGTCAATCTGACCCGACTGACCTGCACCTGACCCCGGCGGATGACGGCGACGGCACAGCGGTCATGGCGCCCACCGCCGGACGGACAGTCAGGGGGTCACGTGCCATATGACGATCGCGTCATCAGCAGCACTTGTAGAACACATGTGAAGACCAGTACCGAGGTCGAATAGGGCGACAATGCGCGTGAGAAGTGTGCGGCGCAGCCGCGCTGTCCTGCGGGGTAGTCACAGATGAGGTTCCCGTCTGCGTAGATCGGGAATATAGTTGCATTTGTCACGCTTAGAGCACCGTAGTTTCCGATTTTGGTCACGTTATGTCTCGATCTAACCAACCAATTGTTGCGTCTCTTGTTTTACTCAATTTTTGCTGCGTTTACCCCTGTCATGTAGCTATATTTCGCAAATCCAATCGCAAGTACTTTATCCGTGTTATCAACAATTATTCTCAGTCGCTCGGACATTCAACCGGGCTGTGAGCTGCCCCGGAAAAAGAAACTTACACGTGGTGAATTAATGACAAAATGATCACGGTTAATGACACCAACCGCACCACCCCAAATATAACGCGCCAAAGACATCTTATAATTGGTGCAAGCACAACGCTTCAGCTTTGCCAGTTGTATCAGATCATAGTATCATGATGCATCAGAGTTAGTACAAAGCCAGCCTAACATGGCACGAAGAAGTCTGCTTCCACCACAATGCAGGTGAAAATAGTAAGATGGCGGTGCGATACACAAAATGTTCAGACAGAACAAAAACTCCACAAATTACCACGGAGGATAAAAATCGCTTTAAAAAAACAATTTAGTGGAAGATAAAACTTATTTAATACACCAGAAATTACTCCTAATTGCGTAAAGATGCTACAGATATGGCGCATCAGTTTCAGTTCGCAGTTAAAGCGAACACAGCAAACGCCAATCAGAGACACGACAGATTTGGCGAGTGGTGTGGATATGGGACGAGCGGGTGTTCCCCTGGGCGGTTTGGGCTGCGGGTCAGGACTGATAGGGCGTCGTTAGACGGGTAGGTTAAAGCGAGCAATATGTGAATGGAAGAACAGGTCAAATTCTGGGACGATCTCTTTAGTTTAACGACTCGGGTGGATAGTGGTCATGGTTAAATGCTGAACTGTATTTCTTTTTGTTTTCATATTTTGGCCATATGCTAGGGCTAGTGAAGGCTGCCCTCATTTTTTAAGTTTAATCTAAGCTCCAAAGTCAACAATATACAAAAATCATAGTAAGAGGTCTGCATTGATTGTGGTGCTGTGCTTAAAATTGGCTATGGATGTGTATGCAAAACTGTTAAACTTGCCTGTTGTGCAAGCCTTTCCACACATGCATGAAAAATGTTATGCTTATCATTCTTAGGCTGATGTTTTCCAAAACTGACTTTGCTCCACCTGAATGTCACACAGGTTCCAAATATTTGATAATATGTCAAGTTTTGACCTTCATTTAGAGTTGACATGACTTTTAATAATGGTATTCAAGGAGTTGTGTTGAGCAGCTGACCCTCACTCTCTGACTCATTTCCAGGCTGAAGCATCTCACAATCACCACAGTGTTGCTGCTTTTTCAGGGTTGGAAATGGCACAGATGCCACTGCCAGTGCAATCACTGAGAGAGTTGTGCCAGATATGCATCTCAGCCATGATCCCAGTGCATACCTGCATTGTGGGGAAAAGTCTGCTGCAATATCTCTCACCATCTGATATGTTAGAAGTTGTTGACAGATTCATGACACTCCATGTAAGTATTGCCTTTCCACAGACAACCAGACAGTGGAGGTGTGAGGCTTCCACAGGCTCTTGTAGGCAAGGTCATTCTACGACATCAACTGGTGTTTGACACCAGCATCTTTTGAATAAACATTATGCCAATTTTGGGAGGCTTGGGGCCTATGTGGTTCCTCAGAGCTGACATTGAATGATAGATAGCTGTTCCTATTCTTCGGGCTGTTTGATTTGTTTTATATGGCTGCATGTTTTAGATAGATCATAACAATGGCATCAGGCATGTAATTTTAAGCACTTTAACAGGTCACATTGCTTGACTGCCTTTCCTTGGACTATATCTTGTGGACTTTTTATTGAGATCTAATCCAAACCTTTTTCAATGCATGGGTTTCTGGGATCAGAGCTCCCTCTAAGCTTTGCTTGTTGAGTAAGCCCTGATTACTTCTACCTGAAAGTGCAATTCCAGGTCAGCAAAAGAATTTGTTGGTGAAAGCTGAAAGTGCCACAAGGCTTGGCATGGTCCATCATGCCCTCTGATATCACCTGACCTTGAGCCCAGCAGCTACCATGGGCCACAGGCCCATGGCAGCTGCTGTATCTATCAATAGCAAAAAGTGAGCACCTAAGATGACCCAAATCCACCCTTCCATGGGTCAGTGGATCACAGGACAGGTTTGACACCATGGATGGGCAGATTGCATGGCAGCTATCCTAACTAACTGAGCTATCAGCACAGGCAAGAACAATGCTTGCACTGGTGTAGTTGCTCACAAATAAGTTGCATTTGTGCATACTTGCCATTACATCACCAATAGACAGCAAAATAGACACTTGGAATGGTGTAGTGACTTGTTGCAGGGAAGGCATTTTCACATATGGTATCCCACAATGGCAAAAGTTATTCTGCAACCCCCCAGTTTGACACCTGTGTCAGAATACTTGTGCTGCTGTGTTGCAGCCTGTCATGGCCAGAGGCAGTGATGGCTCACCTGCCAGTCAGCTCAATGGCATGGCATGGCATGGTATACATGCCATTTGCACTGACTATACTGTCAGGCAAATGAGTCAATGAGCTATGAGCCATTCTTGGCCATGGCAGCCTGAACAGTTCCCCCTGAATGAACAGTATGGCTGTCGGGTGGGGCCATACATACAAGGAAACTGATGCTGTGCATGGAGCATGGGTGTTAGTAGTGTAGTGGTTAACACGTCTGTGTTAACCACTGCACGTCTGGGAAACCAGAGGTACGGCGTTCGATTCCCCGTGGTGCCCGCCCTTCCTGCCAGGGTGAGAGGCAGGCGACGCCATATAGCCTCAGCAGCTGAGTGCATCATAAAGCCCCAATGACAATGACAATGACAGTGTATGGAGCATATCCACTCCTGTTGACAAGCACTGGCTGCTGTATGTGCCCGACCATCGGCGAGCCCTCGCGCTCCACACACCGCACCGGAGCGCACGGCGCATCTACGGGTGCGTTCCTCAATGAGCACGCCTGAGGCCATCGCTAGGGAAATCGTTGAGGCTACGTAGCCGCGGAGGCTGGATGCGAGGTTAAATATCCCGATATGGATATTATGGACGCCGTTCAGGGATGCAGTAGCCAGTATACAGCTCTGAGCTATATGTCGGCGCGTTGTGCGCAAATTTGTACGGTATTTAGTCTTCATACCACATGATTTGTCACGCGGGATGACGACCATGGTGAAGAGGTTTCAGGTCGGTAGCATGATTCCACGCGGATCCTGATTCTTACTGATGCTGTCCGGCAACGTCAGGTTACACACCGACACATTCGGAGTCCGTCGTTACTCTGCCAGGCTGGATTTTGATCCTGCCTAGATCCCGCGGCACACAGACTGGCGGATCCTTCCTCTCGCTGGAGCTGCCATCGTAATTCAGTGTTTGATCCCAATTCACGCCATGGAAGATTTCTTGACAGTCGCCACAGGCTGCTTTCTGGGCCGTTCCGCGTTCAAGAACCAGGAACCAGCTCCCAGGGAGATGTGTGGAACCACATGCCTGAATGCCGCTGCCGTATGCTCTAGTTTGGGCCGGACTTTACATGGACCGACATGTCCGGGAAGCCAGTCCAACGACACCGTCCTGAAACGCAGCAGTGCCAGCGCGTGCACCCACTGGTCCGGTGATTCTCCGTGGCAGCGGTCCAGAGCATGCGTGCGGCGCGCGATCTGACCGGTCCGGTCGCGGCACAGAAAGGCCGATGCAGGACGCTGAGTTGTGGCAGTACACACGCGGTCGCCTGCCGGCATATGCCGGTCTAATGGGAGCACGGCTCCCGGGACCGGCAGACGCGCTGGCGTGGGGGGGTGTTCGAGGCATTGTGTGGTGATCTCCGGGCGCGCTGGCCGGTGTGGAGTCTGATCCGGACAGTGACGCGAGACTGCTGTATGCGTGCACAGATCCGTTACCGTGGCTCACTCAGACAACACGGTAGGCAAGGCGCATGAGCATTTGCGCATAGCACCCTAGTATACAGCTCGGAGCCGTGTATGGCTCCATTACATCCCTGAGCGGCGTCCACAACACACATATCGGGTTATTTAACGCCGCATCCAGCCTCTGCGGCTATGAAGCCTCAGCATTTTCCCTGGCGTGGCCTCAGGCGACGGCGCGCGGCACCCTTCGGACGCGCCGTGTGCTCTGGTGCGGTGCTTGGAGCGTGTGTGCTCGCCTAATTATGCACCAGTTCAGCACGAATTTAAGGACGGATGTTGTCGCTTACGTACGAGTTAAAGACCGACGAAGATCGGCGTGCGACGTCACCTGACAAACATGCTATCAGATAGCATAAGGGCACCCTTATCTCAGAGACGTGTGGTGCGTGCTGGTTTCTATGTTCTGAGTTGTGGTGCAACAAATAAACCCGTACTTAACCGGACATTCGTACAAATAGATTTGTAACCAGCATATGCGCTCCAGGGACGTCAGGTGAATGTGAATCCGTACGAGCTTCTGCTGCCCACGCCGTCCGTTCTGCTGCAGATGCCTCATCTACGGGTCAAGCTGCACAAAATTTGTGGGGTAAGTTTTGCAGAGCTGCGGCCGGTGTGTTCGTTGTCTTTCCAATGCAAGATAGCAATGATCTGTGATTCACGTAAACGTATGGACATGCACGAGGAGAGCTCAAGGGTTGCAGGATTTTTGAGATGACGACAGGCGAGAAGCACCACATCTGATGCTGCGGTGCATTAGGTTCGCAAAAAATTCAAGCTCTATGATGTGTTTGGTTTTATTACCCTGGCTTCGCCGTCATGTGCATGGATCCTATCATAAACTGTAACATTACCACATCATAGTCGCATCAAATCGTATCAAAGTCGTAACATTACCATATCATATGTCGTCATGAGCTGAATGAATGGCCTGCTGAGATCCAGCACGTCATTGTCTCCCCCACGTGGTCACTTCTTCAGAGGACTACATATCCTGAACATGTTGCCTGTTTTGGGCCAACAGCGTGCATCACGAGCCAAGGCCTCCAAGAGCGCCAGGGATCTGGTGCTGAACAGTATCCCTCCAAATGACTCAGCGCAGCTGGGCGTCTCAGGACTTCTCGATCTGGGTGAATGCCATTTTCTTTTTTTAGTCATTTTGTTGATGTTATTTGACGGCTGGTCGGGCGTCGTGATGTGTGACACTGCGCCACGCACGACGGGACATCGTACGGCCTCGTATAGTCGAGGCACAACAGCACGATTCGAATTTCACCGAAGGCTTCTGGGAATGCTGGCCAAATTCAGCAATGAACCCTGATGTTATCTTAGAAGCAAGGAGAGACGACATGCCTCGGGCTGGTAACTGGTAGCAGCATTAAGGTCCCACAGGGCTCTCGGCCCCTCACGTGTCAGACCGTCACCTCGCACTGATACAGCCGGCGCGGGTGTCGGGGCCGGGCTGGAGCAGCCAGCTGTGTCCGGCTCAGACTGAGGTCCCGGCGCTCTGCACTCCACGGCTGCCTGGCTGCACCACCACACCGGCTGCATGTCAGGTCACTGCACTCCACGGCTCCCGGGGTACACCACCGCACTGGCTGCATGTCGGCCACTGCATGTGAGGACTGCACCACCGCACCGGCTGCACGCCAGGTCACTGCACTCCGCGGCTCCCGGGGTACACCACCGCACTGGCCGCATGTCGGCCACTGCATGTGAGGACTGCACCACCGCACCGGCTGCACGCCAGGGCACTGCACTCCACCGCTCCCGGGGTACACCACCGCACTGGCTGCATGTCGGCCACTGCATGTGAGGACTGCACCACCGCACCGGCTGCACGCCAGGTCACTGCACTCCACGGCTCCCGGGGTACACCACCGCACTGGCCGCACATCAAGCCACTGCACGTCAGGTCACTGCGTGTCATGTCACTGCACATCCGAAGCATCTGTCAGCATGCTGACCTTGGAGGCCAGCTGGCTGAGGCATTTTTTCTGCTCTCTGCGAACGTGCTCCACTCTGGCGTCTTCGCCTGCTCCTTAGCTGCCGGAAGCCTGACATTGTGCAATGCATGTCGTTTTCAGGAGCGTTCCTCTGCGAGACGGGCTGGTACGACGATGGGACGGACATTCTGAGAAGCATCAGCAGCATTGTTAGAGCGGACACTTCTCCCCAGCACTCCATCATTGCCCTGGACTGTGCCCAGAGGTATGCCAGCTTACTGCTCACACGTCCCAATCTTGCTTGCCTGCTCCTTTATTTCGCACCCAGCTTTGTACCCTATTCTTTTGGAATCAGTGGCTTTTCACTCTCACAGACTTCGTTTGAAACGTACGCATCGGTGCTTCGCTGGAAACTTTATAAGCCCGGCTGCAGTATTCGTCAGTCGTACTTCTCGCGGCATCGCCGGGCGCTGTGGAACGCTGACATTGTTGGGCGCCAGCGTGTCTTTCGGCATGAGCGGCACAGCTGAACGCGCCGGCCGCCTCAGGGCCGGCCAACTGACGGGGCCGCGGCTGCGCCCACCGTCTGTTGTCAACCGACCAATCTCAGGTCGCCTTGTGTGGCTCCTGTGACTGCTGACCGCTCTCTGTACGGCTCCTGTGACTGCTGGCCGCTCTCTGTACGGCTCCTGTGACGGCTGACCGCTCTCTGTACGGCTCCTGTGACTGCTGACCGCTCTCTGTACGGCTCCTGTGACTGCTGACCGCCCTCTGTACGGCTCCTGTGACGGCTGACCGCTCTCTGCACGGCTCCTGTGACGGCTGACCGCTCTCTGTACGGCTCCTGTGACGGCTGACCGCCCTCTGTACGGCTCCTGTGACTGCTAACCGCTCTCTGTACGGCTCCTGTGACTGCTGACCGCCCTCTGTACGGCTCCTGTGAAGGCTGACCGCTCTCTGCACGGCTCCTGTGACGGCTGACCGCTCTCTGTACGGCTCCTGTGACTGCTAACCGCCCTCTGTACGGCTCCTGTGACTGCTGACCGCTCTCTGTACGGCTCCTGTGAAGGCTGACCGCTCTCTGCACGGCTCCTGTGACGGCTGACCGCCCTCTGTACGGCTCCCGTGACTGCTGACCGCTCTCTGTACGGCTCCTGTGACGGCTGACCGCCCTCTGTACGGCTCCTGTGACTGCTAACCGCTCTCTGTACGGCTCCTTTGACTGCTGACCGCCCTCTGTACGGCTCCTGTGAAGGCTGACCGCTCTCTGCACGGCTTCTGTGACGGCTGACCGCTCTCTGTACGGCTCCTGTGACTGCTAACCGCCCTCTGTACGGCTCCTGTGACTGCTGACCGCTCTCTGTACGGCTCCTGTGAAGGCTGACCGCTCTCTGCACGGCTCCTGTGACGGCTGACCGCCCTCTGTACGGCTCCCGTGACTGCTGACCGCTCTCTGTATGGCTCCTGTGACTGCTGACCGCCCTCTGTACGGCTCCTGTGACGGCTGACCGCCCTCTGTACGGCTCCTGTGACGGCTGACCGCCCTCTGTACGGCTCCTGTGACTGCTAACCGCCCTCTGTACGGCTCCCGTGACGGCTGACCGCCCTCTGTACGGCTCCCGTGACGGCTGACCGCTCTCTGTACGGCTCCTGTGACTGCTGACCGCCCTCTGTACGGCTCCTGTGACGGCTGACCGCCCTCTGTACGGCTCCTGTGACGGCTGACCGCTCTCTGTACGGCTCCTGTGACGGCTGACCGCCCTCTGTACGGCTCCTGTGACTGCTAACCGCTCTCTGTACGGCTCCTTTGACTGCTGACCGCTCTCTGTACGGCTCCCGTGACGGCTGACCGCCCTCTGTACGGCTCCCGTGACGGCTGACCGCTCTCTGTACGGCTCCTGTGACTGCTGACCGCCCTCTGTACGGCTCCTGTGAAGGCTGACCGCTCTCTGTACGGCTCCTGTGACTGCTGACCGCCCTCTGTACGGCTCCCGTGACGGCTGACCGCCCTCTGTACGGCTCCCGTGACGGCTGACCGCCCTCTGTACGGCTCCCGTGACGGCTCCCGTGACGGCTGACCGCCCTCTGTACGGCTCCTGTGACGGCCGACCTCTGACTGGCCGAGCAGTCTTTGACGCCGCGTGCGCGGCCGGGCGGTGACGGCAGGTGTCTGAACGCGGCGCTGGCCTGCGGCCGGGTGGAGACCTCGCGCCGGTTGGCGGACCACGTGCAGCGCCTGATGGTGGGTCAGCACGGCGCGCTCGCCGCCTCCGCCCTGCTGGCCCTGGCGCGCTTCAACATTCTGATCGAGTCTTGGTCGGAGGTACGCGCCGGACACGAGACAGCAATGCTCATTTTTTTATGCAGCTGTTCTGGTATGCTGTCTCACCCGTGGGCTGTGTGACCTTAGCTGGTTTTCTTATTTCTGTTTTCTGTCGGACATGCGTGATCCGTTTGACCTTTATGTGACCTCTGCCGTCTGTCTGATCTATTCCGTTTGTCTGACTTCTGCCGTTCGTTTAAACTCTGCCGGCTGTTTGACCCCCGCCGTCCGCCTGACCTCTGTGATCTGTCTGATCTCCGCCGTCTGTCTGACCTCTGTGGTCTATATGCCGTCTGCGGTCCGTCTGACCTGTGCCGTCCGTCTGACCTCTGCCGTCCGTGCGACCTCTGCCGTCTGTCTGAGCTGTGTGAGCTGTCTGACCTCTGCTGTCTGTCTGACCTCTGCCGTCCGTCTGACCTGTGCCGTCCGTCTGACCTGTTCCGCCGGCCCGGCAGGCGACGCGGCTGCTGTGCGCGGCCGCCGACGTGCTGCTGTCGGGCCGGCCGGCGGCTGACGTGTCGGTCGAGCTGCTGCGGCTCACTGTGGAGCTGCTGCTGGCCCGGCGGCGCACCACCGGGCTGGCCGAGCTGGCGCGCCAGGCGGCCGCGCTGCCCTGCTGGCTGTGGGGCGAGCGGCACCCGCAGACGCTGGCCGCCCTCCAGCTGCTGGCCGAGCTCACCATGACTGTCGGGCTGGGCTCGGCCGCCGTCGAACTGTCCGCGGTAGGTCCGCCAGCCCACCAGCTCCATACCCGCCGCTCGGTCTCGGTCTCGCAATGCCCACTCTGTTGTCTCTCTTAGTCTGTGCTCTCTTAGTCTGTGCTCTCTTAGTCTGTGCTCTCTTAGTCTATGCTCTCTTAGTCTGTGCCTAGTTGGGTCCTCCCGGGAGTGCCCACTAAGGTTTCACCTGGTTTCGTTGCGGTAAAGTGTGACGCCGGAGCACTGTCACGGTTCATCGCACGAGATCGGGCGTCACGTCGGGTCTTCTTTCCGGGGTGCGCCTCTAACGCTCGTGGTGCGCTGGGTCGGCGGCGCAGCTGGTCGCCAAGCTCGCGGAGGAGGTGTTCGGCGCCGGCAGTCTGTGCAGCCAGCGCGCCCTGCTCGACCTGGTGGTGGCCCGCAGCCGGCTGCCGCTGGAGCAGCACAGCCAGCACCACCTGCCGTCAGTGCGCGCCGCCGTCCGTCGCCGCTCGGGCACGCGCCTTCAGCGCCGCGCGGGCCGCCCCTCTGGGAGGCTGTGACGTCAGATGTGCCACGTGCGACTGGCTCTTGCAAGGGCGTTCAGCGTGATGCAAATAAGGGGAGGGGGAGTTATCGGACAAAACTGGGATAAACACTTCGGAATTCCTCGTGGTTCCAAAAAGATTGCTGAGCGCGTTGCTGTGCGCAGCGGCTGTTACCAGCCCCCTGGTAGCGATTGCACCCTAGATGGTGCCAAAGTGGACAGATAAATGTATTGAGTTCTGCTCTGTTATATGTATATTCTCTGTAAAGTAATGATGCTGGAAGATGACGCCTCGGTTTCGCCGCGCCCTTGCCATTACGCGCTGGTCTCTGCAGTCCGTCGGCGGCGGCTCTGGACGACCTGCAGCCGGATCCTGAGAGCAGCTGGTACCTGGACAAGATGATCGTGGAGTGCCTCTGGATGGACGAGAAGATCCCCTCGCTGCTGGAGACGCGGAACGGCCGCGGGCACGGTACGCGGCCAAACGCGCTCGTCGGACCGGGGCTGCGGCACACGGTCGTGGTGCTGACTGAACCCTCAGCGCCTGGGACAAGCTGATGCCTTGTGTAGAGGGGTGGGCGTGGGCTGTCGTTGGGCGGTTTTTAAGGAAAGAGCACTTGAGAAAATGTGACACAATGTGATGATTGGCTGCTCTCCAGGTGCGTGCGTGTGCGGTGAGACCGGCGCTCCCTCTCCGACCAGGCAATCCGTCTGGATGTGCCCATTAACAGCTCGTGCGTGGGTAGCGTTCTTGACGGTGATGATTTAGGCTTAAGGGCGCGCCGCCTGCGCTGCTCATACGGCACCCAAAGACGAGGACCGACTGGAGGTGATGTGGCTGGATGTCATCTCATGTCATGTCATGTGTGTGTATGTGTTTCAGCCCAGGTGACTGGATGTCATCTCATGTAGTGTCATGTGTGTGTACGTGTTCCAGCCCAGGTGTGAGGTCATGTCATGTCATGCCACTATATGTGTGTTCCGGCCCAGGTGTGAGGCTATGTCATGTCACGCCACTATATGCGTGTTCCAGCCCAGGTGCTGAGCCGCCGGATAGTGCATGTGCTGGACTTGGCGGCCGTCCGCTGTGAGGACATGTTCGGCGGTCACAGTCTGCGGCTGTCGCGCATCCTGACCGAGCAGGCCCGGCAGTACTTCAGCTCGGCGCTGGACGGCCTGCTCGACCTCGACGAGGTGGGGGATACGGTTATGAGGCGCCCTCTGCCGGTCACAGGCCGCCCGCTCCGTCAGGGACTAGCTGGCTCCAGTCCCCGACCACGGCGCCGGAGCAGACCGTGGCAGACTTGAGGCTGGGGGAACCACTGAGTCCGTCTAGGTGAGGGCTGTAGGGCGCCTGGGACCGGGCATTGAGCGGGCCTGTTGGAGACCCGGACCGGGAGGGCATCGGGCGAACGTGCCACCTGGCGTTCCCGCAGCTGATCGCCAGCCGCCCGGTCTGTGTGGTGAACTGGCGTCGTCGTCCGCGCAGGACGCGTGCAACGAGGTCTCTGAGCAGAAGCTGCGCCGGGCCGAGGCCATCCAGAGCCGGCACCAGCTGCCGCCGGACCACCGCGACCTGCTGGTCACGCAGATCACGCGCGGCTGCCTGTACGCCTACTCGTCGCTGCGGCTGCTGTTTCAGGCCGAGGCCATCTTCCGAAGCGCGCTCAAGATCTGCTGTGAGTAACACCGCCGCCGCCTCCGCCGCCGCCGCCGCCCGGTCATTGGACACCCGCAGAGATAGAGCCGCTGCCGCCGGACGCCGCGTGTGTTCGGCGATGCGATGGCTCTGTCTAGGCAAGAGTTGATGGGTGATCATGCTCGGACTGTGGTCTGCAAATGACCTTGTGTTTTACCATGGTTTATGGAAAGGTTGTTTTGTGCAGGAAAGGTATGAAGTGGCCTGCCCAGGGACAAGTGACATTTTCGCCGATACAAGCTATAATCTTCTTTGGCATATGTTTAGGACTTGTACCAATTATGCAAAACTGATCGGCGTGTGGTGCAGTTAACACTAATGGCCGCAAAAGAGGCCTACCGGTCAGCTACTTGGTACCGTTTGCGTAAAGCTCTGTGTATATGTGCTGCCATTTTGTTAGATTTTGGCCCGATTAGATGCGTTTTCAGAAGTCAACCACGACGAGCCTGTCCCAGTTTCTGAAGAAAGATCCGTGAACAATCAAACGACGAATTATCTCTCCGTAGGTCTTGAAACAATGCAGTCATATGACGTGAATATCTGGGTCCGCCATTGCGCCAGTCTAAGCCCACGCCGCGTGCTGAAGCTAGCCGGGCCGATTCGGAATATTGCATCACGATCTGGGGAGAAATGCCTGATTATCTGTCCGATTTCGGCCGGTCACATGAATCGGAGCTGGCTGCGGTACTCTTTCTCTCTCGCAGTAATTTGGCTGCAGTAGAGACAAAACTTCTGACAATTTACATCTGTCCTTACGAAAAATTATGAGACAGATGCGTAAGACGGTGTTATTTTACTAAGACAGAGAGCACTACTAAGTAAGACGGGGTGGTGCTTCTTGCCCACGAAGGCAGATAATTACTATACCCGTGGTTATTGTTCGACATGAGTTTGCGGCCGTGGCTGGCGGCCATTTTTGTTGGCCGTCGGGCAGTGAGTGCCGCGTTACTGGCCGGGACGAGCCTGAGTGCGTGGTCAGTGGCGTGGTACTGAGAGTCTGCTACCAACCCTCTAACCTACTACGCTGTCCCGGCCGGCGCGTGTCGCCTGGTGACCGACCGGCCCCCGCCCGGCAGACCACAGCGGTCAGCGCCAGCACCTGGACCTGGTGGAGCACTGTCTGCGCGGCCTCTCCTCCATCTACGCGCAGCACGAGGACGTTGCGCGGTCGCACAGCACGGCCGAGCTGCTGGAAACCGTGACGGCCCAGCGACGCCGCCTGCTGAGCCAGCCGTTGCCCGCCGGCGGGCTGCGCGCGCTGCTGCCGGCGGTGCCGCGCCCTGACCGCCAGCTGGTGGCGCAGGCGGCGGCCGTGCTGCGCGCGCAGCCGGCTGGACCGTCCGGCCCGCCCGCACGCTGAGGCCTGCTGGCGACGGCACCCCCTCCGACCGCACGCGGCCGGCGCCACTTGCGACCGCGCAGACTGCGCCTCACGAGGCCCTGTGGCAGAGGCCCCCCCCGCTACGAGTGGTTGAAATGCGCGAGGCTCTTGCGCCCGTGTGAACTTTGCTGATGGCTGACATGGCCGGGACTGGACCGACCAGTGATCAACTGGGGCCTTCTACAGGCTCTTCCGGCTGGTATTGCCGATCTTGTGATTGGCCGCCGTCCGCCGCCTCCGCGCTGTCCCCCAGGTGATCTCGCGCCTCGGTGTGTGCAGGTCAAGTGCCAGCCTCGTGGCTGTACCTGGGGCTGGGTACGTGATTGTGATGATGCTGTGATTGTGGCGCCGCGTACGGCCCGCCCCCACACTGCCTACCTCGCTCGTACGGTGCCATGCGAGAGACGTCTGACGCCGGTAAGCTTGCGGGCGTGTTTTTCAAGGGTATGTAGAAGTAGTGAAGATGCTGCTTTAACAACGCTCGAGCGTGCCGTTTGGGCAGAGCCGAGGCTGTAGGTCAGGCGCAGGTGTGGGTCGGTGGACCAGCAAATATCAAGTTGTCGCGGCTGGGTGAGGCACAAGCCCGTGGGTTGCCAAAGTGTGGAGCAGTCACCGCACCGCTCACAGAAGAGACGCGGCGTGGCATTGACCTGAACTGAAATGGGATTGGTCCTCATGCTGTATCAGAGCTTCAAGGTCTTAATCATGTGACCAAAGTAACGCTAGCCTCGCGCACAGAGGCGGGCTCGTTTTTCTATTGTGCACATGCGACCATTCGCACTTCAGATGTGTGGTTTCATGGATTCGTACGCATCGTATTAAGTGTGCCATATTGTCAACCGCTGTCAGAGGTGCTTTTCGAAATGCTTAAGTATAAATATTTGAGGAGGGAGCGTCTGTCTGTCCGTCTGTCTGTCTTCTTTTGCTATTTGGTTCACGTGCAGGTCAAACGACTGACCGCTTAGAGGTGTACATTTGACACGGTGCATGCGACGTGCCATAGTGAGTTTGGCGCCGGTACGGTCAACGGGTGGGGCGTGGTATACTGTTTGCGTAGCCCACTGGGTCTGCATGGCCGGTACGAAAAAGCGCCCCGTGTCGTGTCGAAGGCGGCAAGCGGGCGTTCGAAGCCGTGGGCGCATCTCGGCTACCACGGGACGGAGCGACTCGAAATCATGCTGCGAGCCACGTGTCACGTGCCCAGCAGCTATCAGGACGGCCTTGCCCGTTTCTCACGTTTTCTCCGAGGTAATGACCGATGCAGTGCCTTTAATTTGCACTCAGTACGAGTTTGTTCGACGCGAGGATGTGCCAGTGATCGTGCAAACCGGGAATGTCAGCATTTTCAAAACGGTGCCGAATGCAACGCGCTGTCGCCTGAACCCCACCAGGATCGTGTTAAAATTTACATCACCGCATGCACGGATTCATCGGCTGTACTTACCACCCATTCAATGATCATTCCGTGCATTATTGCGCTGAAACATCCAACTTCACGTGCACTGTTACAATTTCGCATTTCCGCTGCGCCAAAAAGCCACCAATCGATTGCCCAGTCGCCGCCACCTCTTGCACTGGCCGCCGCTTAATATTTCCGGTGGGTGGGAAAACGCTAGTACTGTGACCGCCTACACTCACACGTGTATGGAGCCAGCGGCAGCTTGGTATTAATAATCAGCGCGGTGTCGATTCAGCAGTAATCGGCGACCTGCTCCAATGTTCACGAAACTTACGCCGAAGAAAGCTAAAATGTGATGAAGACACACGGAAAGACTCTTTGTAAGGCATCAAGCTGTCTGACCTCCAGGGTTCATAAGGGGCCAACCGGTACGTGGCGACAAACATGACGCGTGTTATTCCCCATACGATAGGGAATGTTTCGCAGATTCAAGAAGGGCTCACAAAAAAGTCCTAAGCCTAATAGATCGAGATATTCCAGAAGATATATAAGATACACGTGTAGAGATAGCCTCGCGTGATACCAGATGAAGCAGGGTAACCCAATGTGCTGAAAACAGCATTAACCTGTTGTATTTCAATGTGCACAAGATTTGAATAAGTTTCAAGGTGGAAAAAGTTGAGTGCCCGAACTGTAGTGCGTGTCATGTCAGGTCACGTCATGACCTCCCGCAACCAGCTAAGACATATTTCCAGAATGGAAATATGATGCTGAACTAAATGGACCCATTTGTCTGATCGGGTGAGGCCTAGTTCATGAGATAAGCAAATAGGTGCCTAGAAATAATAATTTTCTGTAGTAATGCACTACTTTCCGTCGGCTTTAACCTGGGATGAAACGACTTGAAAAATTCCGGTCGCCTTGGCTTTCTTTGTAACAACAAAAAACGCTACAAATGTAGATCAACTCAGGTAAAGGAGTCATTGCTCGGCTGTTCACGGGATATCAAAACCTTCGACCTCTAGACGCCACCGCGCGCCAGAGCGATTTTCGCTGCGCACAGATAAACCGCGTGACGGATACTAAGCAGGGCAACGTAATGCGCTGAAACCGATATGCTTCTGAAACCGAAATGCCGATGTCGTATGTTTTAATTGAATGTGTTAACAAACTGAATGAAGTCGCCGAAAGTTAGAAAGAAATGAACATTTGGGTTGCTGCGTAATAGAACTGGTCCCCGCAATGCTGAGTTGGAAGTCATGCAGACACGGCATTGCTCTGTGTTCGTCCGACTCACGCCTGCTAAATGACTGATCACAGGGAGCAGTTTGATAAATGGAGGTCGACGGATTGACAACTGCGTTCAGCTGCGTACCAGCGGTTGGCAATTGCTCCACTGCTGCACAGAAAACTACAGCGACGTCATCAGGAAAAAAACGTGTGAACGATGGATTTATCCATGCTTTATTTTCCGCCCCGACAATTAACGCGTGACGGCTGTGGGTGCCTCTGTTGTGCTGGTGGTCGCGAGGCCGCCACAAGACACGCCCGGCTCGGCACGTGGCTAGTGCGCCACCCCGCCTCCATGGGACACGGTCAGATTGTACTGAGATCCGAACACGTCACCAGCACCCCGCCGCCAACCAGCGCACGGCACTCAGCGTCACCAGTGACGTCACAAGGGTGACGCGCGCCGGCGCCCGGCAAACGCTACAAGCGAAAAAAGCCATTGCTCGCGACGCGAGACAAAACACGGTTAACTCAGGTCATTGAAATGCATGTAAAAGCAGACAGCGAGTTAATACGCGATGGACAAAACGTCGATATTCACAAATGGTGGGTGGCGGAGGGGCGTGTCAGCGCGCCGGCCGTGCGACGTCCGCGCGCGCGGCGGCGGCCCTCCGTGCGATGGCGGGTGATGATGACAGGGGGCGCGCGGACCGTCCGCTGGCGCCGGCGCGCCCATCACGATATCAGCTGGAACAGAGTGCGCCGCGGTCTCAGGCGAGGGCCACCACCGGGCGCGCCGGCCGCGACGGAGCGGCGCCGCCCCGAGGGGCCGACGCCACACGTCCACACAGCCGGACCCGGAGACGGATTCAGCTGGAGAATCACACCCCCGGCGCGACTAACTTTCCGCTCCCGCCTCACTCTCCCTTCTTCAATCTCTCGCTATGAAATGTTGAATAGGTATACACAATCTAAGCGCCACATATTTCAGCTCTTTACATCTCGCTCAAAGCTGTGAAGAGGCCTATCAGAAAAAAAGATAATATCAACTGAACAGCATACGTTGAGTGCACTCCCCGTATTTTTTTTTTTTCAAGTGCTGAAGTGCGTCATCACTTCACATAAACAGCCTGAAGTGCGTCATCACTTTACCCGGCGCATGGCACCGGCGCACCGAGTCGCATCCAGCCAATCAGCGCGCGGCCAGCGGTCTTCGGCAGCCGACCGCTGGCGGCGTCCACACTCCTGCACAGGTCACGTGATACGCCAACGTATGAGACCAATACAATCAGGTACTGTCGCTCGCTTGCAACCCATCTGCACAGTGCGTCCCGTCCGCCCGTATGCCGTGTTCATGCTCAATAACGGTAAGGCGGTGACGCGTGTTTGGGAGCACAATCTAGTTATCTCACTGTTCTGTACCCCACATAAATTTGACGCAATCCTTTCCATGCATTGATACATAACTCTCATGCTATTTTTTGGCCGTAGTGTTACTTACGGCAGAACATTATTAGGTCTGGATTCGGCGGCCAGCTTCCTGCCGCCAGCAGTCGGCCGACATCGTGCTTATCAGAAGTCTTCGGCGATTGCGATGGCAGTTTAATTTGAGCACGCAGCTGTAATGACTTTCTGCGCGATCTTGTTTCGTTATAAAATTATTCTAATATATAATCAGCTTCAGAAAAGTGAGGTATGTTCCCAGACTAAGCAGTGCAGATAATTGAAAGCAGTCATGAACTTAAAATAATCACACAATTCTTTCCAATTCGTTTTATCCCAGCTGCCACCCTGGAATCCGTGCACAACATGAATTTGAGAACCCTCTCCCTCGCGCACCCTAAACGGACGCTCATTTCCTGCGCTTCCCTCTATTCAGTTTCATTGAGCGGATAACGCGGAGCGTGTTGTGCCGGCGTGCCGCCCCGCTATGACCCCCGCAGAGGGCGTTCCGGCCCGTTATGAGCCCCGCAGAGGCCGTGCCGCCCAGTTATGAGCCTTGCAGAGGGTGTGCCAGCCCGTAATAAGCCTTGCAAAGGGCATGCCAGCCCGTTATGAGCCCTGCAGAGGGCGTGCCGACCCTTTGTGACTCTTGCAGAAGGCGTGCCGGCCCGTTATAACCCCTGCACAGGGCGTTCCGGCCATTATGAGCTCTGCAGAGGGCGTTCCGGCCCGTCATGAGCCATGCAGAGGGCGTGCCAGTCCGTTATGACCCCTGCAGAGGGCATTCCAGCCGTTAATAGCCCTGTGCGGAACGTGACAGCGCTCACCGATTTGACCGTGGCCTTGATGAAGTCCTTGCGAGCAGTGAGGTCGTGCTGCGGGTACTTGGCGTACACCTTCGTCAGGATGTTCTTCATGGTGACCTCCTCCAGGTTGGCGCCATGCAGCAGTTTGCTCACCAGCGTCCTGATCTCGCCGTTCTATCCACGGCGGACATGACAAACCGTCAGCGACCATTCTGTGCGAGTTCTCACCACGGGACAGCCGGGTGAACTAGTGCCTGCTAGCCGCCGTTTTGGTACCATATCCCATAATGGAACAACCACACTGTGTTGGAAAGATGGACACCTATTTACGCAAGCTGTTAGATGACACTATCTTGAAACATGTTTGACCTTGACCAGACCTTACGAACATAGCTCACACGTTTCCAAAATCGGCATAATTCTATTGAATGCGTTAGCTCGGGCAGGACAGCAAAACCCGAGCATGCTCTGCGGCAACACACGACGCAGGACACCAAGCAGATCAACATCGTCCATCCCGCTGGGAACACGCCCGCCCCAGTGGGACCCGAGCGCGCGCGGCGGTGAGCCCCCAAACTCGCGGCGCGTGGCAGCAGACAGCACGCGGAGGCCGGCGGCCCCGATAATCCGCGCGCCTGCTCGGAGGGCCGGCACGCGGCGCGCTGGCCACGGCACTCCTCGCCTCCCTCTTCCCCCTCCCCCCCCCCCCCCCCCCCCTCCCCCGGCGACTGACCGTGGGCGGCTTGCCGGCCTTGGGCTTCTTCTGGAGCGGCTCGTCGTCTTCGCTGGAGGAGCCGGCCGGCTCGGCCCCGGCTTCCTGAGCCTTCCGCTTCTTGGGCGTCTTCTTCACGCCCGCCTTGACCGCAGCCTTCTTAGCCGGCGTGCTCTTCGCCGGGGCCTTCTTCGGCGACGGTTCCTTCTTCTTCTTTATAACCTACAGTGCACCAATGATGGGACAAATGTCATTAAAGTTCGCACCAAACGCCTTTCATGCGCTTGGCACCCGGCGATTCCCAAGCCCAAACATAACAACCAGGAACGGCCGACTGAACCATGAGCGGCGTTTTGCAATCAACTCACACTTACAATGGCCATCACAATCGATCGTCAAGCCCAACATACATGACGTTCATTTGCTACGTAGGGGAATCGTGCAGCCTGTCCAGTGCACCATGTTGGCCACACAACCGCAACCCTGAGCAGGAGGCTAAACATGCATTTGCAAAACGGCGCCATATTAAAGTCATGTATTTTGCTTAACCTACTTGTAAATTTTACAATTATGTTTTGATTGTACTTACCTTGTTTAACTTGTGGCCTAAGCCTGAGGATAATTGATATGGATGGAGCTATTTCTAGACATTCTTGCTGCTTTTAATGCTAACGACCAGAGACATCATCGATGAATGTAGGCCCAAATTAAGAACCTGCTTGAAAGCATCGATTCAGAGCGGGCTGTGTGGTGTTTGATCAACGGAGCCCATAATATCGCCTGTTCCGAGACACACCAGTCCCTGCGCGACGCGTCACTAGCTGACGGAGCCTCTCCCCCGGCCCCCACTCTCAGCAGCCTACCTTCTTCGGCTCCTCAGCATCGCCAGCACCGCCGACGTCGTCGTCGTCGTCGTCGTCATCCGAACCGCTCTCGCTGCCGCTGCCCACGTCATCGCCGGCCTCGTCACCCTCCGCGGCCTTCTTCTTGCGCGGCTTTTTGACGCCGGGGCCGGCCTTGCCCTTGGACTTCCGCTTCCGCTTCTTCTTGACCTGGGGATGACGCCCGGCGGGACGGTCAGCGGCCGGCGCCAGACGGCCTGCCAGTCCGCAGCCTGCTGCCCGGCGAGTGACCCGCCATCGACCGCACGTGTCGCGTAGGGAGCCACGCAACTGACCGACGCGCGTCAGAGCCATGTGGCTCAATGCCATCTGTTAGACGCCTGCACTGCAGCGTGGCGACAGGTCGTCGGCCGGGGGGAGACGGCCGCAGGCTGCCGAGGTTCAGCGGGGACGGCCCCCGTCGCCGCCTGTCCACGCGTCAGCCAACCGCCGCTCCGACACCAACACAATGCTGGACACGACGCATCCCCTTCAGAACGGACATAACACCATTCCGGCCGATGCCACGTGTTGCCTTCAGTTGGCAGTCCTTTGACAGATGTCCTGCCCGGTCGGAATCTGCTGCCAGCCGTCGGCAGTCCCGTGACAGACGCCCTGCTCGGCTGGGGTCTGCCAGCAGCCTGCCAGCCGTCGGCAGTCCTGTGACAGACGCCCCACCCGGCCCGGCCGTTGCTCGGTCCCTACCTCGCGTCCGGACGGCTTGGGGTCACAGAGGAAGCGCAAGATGGCCAGCGCCAGCTCCTCGCGCGTGCCACTCTTGCGGTCCAGGTCGAGGATGCGGCTGAGGGAGCGCAGCACGTCCAGCCGGTACCTGCGGCCGCGGCAGCGGTGTCAGCGCGAGCTCCTGCTCCCACTGCTGCTGGCCAGTGGACAGCACTGCCGCTCACCGTCCGGCGACGAACACACTCCAGTGGCGTTATGGGCACAGTCACACTCGTGACGTTACGGCCACCCTCTTATGACGTCACGGACACAGCCACACTCGTGACGTCACGGACGCAGCCAAGATCTTGTGACATCAAGGACACAACCACACTCCACTGAGGTCAGGCTCGACATTATCATGGTCAATGAGAATGATTCACACAATACACATGCGATTCCTCACGGTGCGCACTCGGAACATACAGAAAACTGCCGAAACAGACAAGCGGCCGCCATGTCGCAGAGCACACGCAGCGCGAGCCCATCGGAGCGCCGCCTCCGCGGCGCCACGGGTCGGCCCGGGCCAGGCCGGCGCCCGCCGGCGGTCGTGCTCACTTCTCCAGGTTCTCCCGCTTCTTAACGAAGCTGGGCGAGTCGGCGGCGAACGCGAAGCCGCGGAACAGACGCAGGTTGCGGCGGAACTCGTAAGGCCGTCCGGGCCGCGAGAAGATGATCTGGTGCAGCACGCGCACGTCGTCCGGTCGGCCCGTCTGCCGGCGGCGGAGGGGAGCGGTCAGCCGCAGTGTGCCGCAGAGCAGCGCCGGCGGCGACGGGCGGTGTGAGGCGGCCGGCGCCACGTGCGGAGAGCAGGGCATTGGCACATCATCAGCCCGCATCGCCGCGGGCGACGCTTCCGTATAGGATGCTCGGTTAGGGCACTGCAACAGCAACGTGTGTCTATGGTCGTCATTCTGACCCAACCCAACGCGATCTAGTCCCATCCATCCGATTAAATATAATCCAATACAATCTAATCTTATCTGATCCGACCCAACCCGATCCGATCCGATCCGATCCGATCCGACCCGACTCGACTCGACTCGACTCGACCCGACCCGACCCGACCCGACTCGACTCGACTCGACTCGACTCGACTCGACTCGACTCGACTCGACTCGACCCCACTCGACTCGACTCGACCTGACCTGACCTGACCTGACCTGACCTGACCTAACCTGACCCGATCCGACCCGATCGCCCTGACCTCAGTCGGTGTCTAGCGGGATACAACCTGCCTACACCCACCCGACCTCTACCCACCGCAATGTTGTGCATGATGACGGGGCAGTCGCTGAGCGGCGTGCCGCGCCCCTCCTCCAGCACGTGCGCGCCGCGCTTGGACTCCTCGCGGCTCTGCTGCACGAACCGCTGCACCGCCTTGCGCTCCCGGCGGCCGCTGGTCTGGGCGGGCCGCTCCAGCAGCGGCACTGTGGCCGCCCACACACAGCTCAGCATATACAAAGGCACATACACGCTGGCATACTGACATGGGCAAAACACTACATCACCATAAAATTAGTACCAACAAGTGGGCAATCGCTTCAATAACACAAAAAATGACGCAACGCTTCAAAAAACAACACTTTTCCCTTAGACGTTAGGGAAATAGTTGTTAAGCTGTCAACACCAAAACAGAAACCAGTTATAGAGCCTGTGCTAGGACATGAAGTACAAAGCTGTCAGTCGTGCACACGTCCCGCAGCTCCACGCGATGCGCAAAGCCACCCACCAGTCTCCTTCCCGCCGTCCTCGTCCCCAGCCTCATCCTCAGAGGGCTCAGAGGCGTCCTCCTCCAGCTGCTGCTGCTGCGGCTGCGGCTGCGGTGGCGGCGGCGGCGGCGACGCCGGCGGCTCTGGCCTGGGCTCGGCCCGGACGGCGGCGGCGCCGGCCGGACCATCATCACCGGGGCTGAGCGGCGCCGACTCGGCCGACTCGGCCGGCTCGGCGGCCGCCGGCGCCTCCTGCGGACAGGCGGCACACATCATCAGCACGGCTGCAGCCATACAAAGCACATAAGTACACATCTTCCTACACTGTGGCAAGAATATCCTCACATGGCAAAGCATGGTGCACTGGTTTACAGCAAAAATATTGTAGAACTGTCACACCGGGGTGAAGGCCATCAGAAATGTGCGTGGAAGGAGAGCCTGGCATAAACTTTCACATGTTTTTGGCATGGATGAACAATGAGTTTGTGGCTATAAAGGAGGAACTCCACTTTTCCAAGAAAAAGAATGAGCAGTCCACTGACCCTTGATTTGCATCATTATGTCCATAATCAGTCTACCAGTCTCAGCCCCTCCTTTCCCTGGACTGCTTGCCGCATAAATGGATGGCATAATCACAAACTTTAATGTGAGCTCACAACTTAGTTCTACCATAAGTTTGATCAGGTACATATAAGCATGAATGATATGAAGTGCAGTTCTTAAAATAACTAAAAATTGAACTATTGGATATCTACTAAGCTCTTATGAGAAGGGATGCACCCTGACACCAATTCTTGACATCTACGAAAATGATAATGGATAGCAATTACTTGTGATACTATATAAACATGTACTGGCATTCTGTAGAAAGTAAGATACTAACCAAAACTCTATCTGTTTCTCTCATGAAGCACTAGCAATCATGGAAGTAGTCTGTAGTCGTGCTAATCATTTTTGCTTAAAATGGCTAGCAATTTTTAGGCACTGCCTGCCACAGCCAGATGTTACTGAAAATGGTGCTTAAGTGCAAATTGCAGCTGCAATGACTGGTCACACTTTCTGGGCAGGGGGTGGGGGCATTTTCTTTCTGGGCTCTGAGCAGAGGGGCACTCAAAAATCACTCAGACATGAAAAGTGACATTCAATGCCTCCAATTGCACAGCCATGCAAAAGGAGTTACATGACCTACAGCAGCCCTAACTCCTAAGTGGGGAAAATTTTGAAGAGGTGGGCTGAAAGAAGAATATTGGCAATGTCATAAATAACAGTGGCAGCTGTTTTAGTTTCCGAGCTGCTGATGGTTGCGAGGAGCTCCTTTGCCAGCATGAACAAAACCACTCTTCCACCTGCACTCTTCCACTCCTCTTTCCTTCACTCCACTACAGATGCTGATGGGGCAATATGCTCACTATGTTCCAAATGCTTCATGCTCATATTTTCTAATAATTTGGCCAGAACCATGCTGTGGAAATAGCACAACCACAGCAACAGAGCTTCACATGTAGATACCCATTTGGCTACCAGGTTGTGAGTGATTGAAATAAGTTGCCAATTGAGGACAGTCTACAAAACATTGCAAAATTCAACAAGATCTTGCTGGGATGGGGCTGGGTCAAGAAACAACATTTGGGGCAGCTTTTAAAAGGCTGAGGCAGGAATTTCAACTCGGGTAGCTTGAAACATTTTGCGGCAGCTCATAGTACTTGGCACTCAATACAGGACTGAGGTGTGGGTCAAGCAGAAACACAAAACACACTATAGTGCATCAAATGCATGATGCAGAGTGAGCTCAATGACCAAATGAATCATATTGGTCTCAACTGTATCACAGCATTTGAACTGCTTCCATATCAACACCTGGTGTAGCATGCAGCTGCTCATACAACTCTTCTAGTTGTGACCTACTAGTTAAATGCAATGCAAGACATAATCAGTGCAATGCAAAATAGTATAATGTAAGTTCGGTGTGCTTGTGAACCATTGCAGAAAAAGCAGCTAATTATCAAAATGACCAAGAAAACCTCAGAAACCATTACAAATCAATGGAACAGCCCTTGCACCAGGCAGAGAAGCTGGCTGCTGTATTTGGGGCAGGATCAGACCCGACCTATATAACTTGCAGTTGTCAGTCTTGTCATGTCATACTTGTCAGATCTGAGGTAGTCTCTGAATCCATATATGCTCAATTCAAGGGCAGGCTAAAGATGTCCACTGTGCATTTTTGATATATGAATGAGATCCTATTAAGTGTTTCCATAACAGGCCATGCAACCTCAAAACTGATAACTCTGAGGTGAGTATGTAGAAAACAGTAAAAATGTACCTCAGCCAATTTGCATGAGGGATTGATGGAGGAACCCTTTACAAAAAAAGCTAAGCTTAAACAAACTTTTTAAATAGAAAAATCAATTTCCCTACTAGCTCATCTTGCCCCATCAGCCTGGGTTTGCCCTTTTAAACATCACTTGCTTCAGCCTATGTATTACTGCAGCAAGCAGGAAAAATGTAGCATTTACTTGTGAAAATAGCACTATGCAGCCAGTCCACAAAACATGAGTACAGAAAAATCTGGCATGCACTGGTGTAAATGCTACTTAGCTGCCCATCCACAAAAATCACTACATCAGGTGCTTACATAATGGCAGTGTCCAGAGCCTGGTGCATGTTCACTCTGATTTCACACCAGGTCAAAATTTGCTGAATTGTCAAGTTTTTTTAAAAAATGCATCAGGGTATCTTTGCTTGAACTTACCTTATCAAAATTATAACTCCTTGGGACAATGGCTAACTACATACTCAAATTTGTGTGAAAGTAGCCAAACTTGGTGAGCTTTGATACAGTATGCATGCACACTGAAATTGTTGCTACAATGAAGGTGGCTGGTATGAATATTTTAGTGGCCTGGTTCAGCAATTTTGCACTTCAGTGTTGTGCAAAGAGGAAATGTATTCAATTGCACAGCAGCATCACAGTTTTCAATGCACATCTAAGTTCATAGCAAGTCTTCTTTACAACTTTCATTAAAAGTGTCCAACTTGGAGCATCCTGACCTGCCATACTAAAGTTAAGACAGCTATTTGGTGTTGACTTTGCTAGGAACTGACAGTACAACTCCTCCCCATTTCCATGAACAAGTTTCAATACTGTTTTGACCAAGCTTGGGCAGTGCAATCAAATACAGCATTTGCCACAAATTTACCACCCCAATGGCAACAAGCAGAACTCAATAAGTCATGTTTGGGCATTCAGACTATGTTTTGGCCACCTAGAATAAATTTTACATGCTCCACAAAAAACGGAAACTTATTATGGTAACAGTACCGGTTGGAGTTCTCTGCCGCACCAACTGCCAAGGACGTTTCAAGCCAGGATGCCTTTAATAGATATCCCGCGGAATGGGACAACAGCATGGCAGGGACTCGTATGCAGGACCGATAGATCCAGAGCCGAACCCTTACCACTGCATCGCCCCCACTATAACGCTTTGTTGGTAGTACCGAACTGTTAACTAAATTTACCGCCGATCCTCCAAATGGCCATCGCCATTCGCAAAACGTGGTCTCACCGGAGCCGGTACGTCTTTGTCTGCGTTCATTTTAACTTCACGGATTCAACTGATCCCTAACACAGCGCATCAGTAAACAGCCATGTCTATAGCCACAGCATGTAAATATAACCAGTATTATAAAACGGGAAACCGTATCACTTCTCCCGCTCCCGAGAATCGTTCGTTGGGCGCGAAAACTGCCCAAGGTCGATGCGAATACATTGTGTGTGAAGCGTATGATGGAGGCACGAGAGCAAGAAATTCATTGATAAATAACTATAAGGCAATGAAACAAAAATGCATATAAATATATACAAAACCCTTCTTTGAAACTTAACCATACACATTCCTACTGAATATTAAGGTACGAGGTCAGCACCAACGCGTCAACTTCTCCGTGGCTTTTGGAGACGTTCCCCATGACGACCGTTTTCCAGACATTTCTTTTAGGTAATGCAATGCGTGCTTGAGGATGAAGTAGCTATTAAAGCTCTTAAAGTGGAAATGGAGATTATCTAAAGTTTTCTGATATTTTTCCATACGAATGACCTAATGTAAGCTTTAAGTCTGTTTCCTTCTCTCCACTGCTCGCACTACCTTAAACCCAACGTATTCAGCTGACTAGAGCGTCACCGGTTTCAGTTACTCGCGCCGTATTCGTCTTGTCCTGATCGTGCGTACGTTTTCTATCGGGGCCTTACAAGAGCAAGGTGTGAGTGGCACAGGTGTTTTGATCACTCTTTTAACGCTGAGAGGCACTGTGTACGGTTAGTGTGGAGGCTAGAGATCAAGACAGAGTATAAGGACACATCAAGGCCCGAAGTACACAGGTGAGATGTATTGGCGTTGGTTACTAGCTCATTACCAGTTCAGATCGCCCGGAACAAGTAAAGACGCCACATCATCCTTTTTTCATACCCATCTGCGCAAAGGTTGAGGTGCACGTACATCGTGACGTAACTTTCAAAATCGATCGGAAAACTTTCATAATTGAGTTCTCTCATGTCGTGAAAGGAGCTCCTGTAAATGACACACTGATTCTGAAAACATAGTTGTGTAATTAAATAAGCCATCATCATCTAACTTGGTGATGGTTAGGGTTTGAGGGGCTCTCAGACAACTAAGGTAATTCTGCTCTTACTCTTTGAATGATGCCCATCACTTCATTAGTGAATGATGGAAAAGTTCCTTTGTGCCAATCAGTCACTTAATGTCCACAGCTTGCATAACGGTATTTCAGATTCACATATATCAGGCCTAACACTTTTATGACCTTGTTACAGGCAGCATGGAGTCATTGGTGGAATCTGGCAACAGAGTGCTCCTTGTGTGGTCTGGCCAGATTGACCCAGAAGAAATGAAACAGCTGGCTGAGAAGCTACAAGGAGCAGTTGGGCCATCTGGGAAGGTTGTTGTTGAGAATGCTGAAAGGCTTGCAATGGGTGAGTAGACCTGATGGCTTACATTGACTAAATGAAATAAATCAAATGTATTAAGATATAGAGGTACTGGTCATGATTTGACTTAACAAGGTAACTTTGCTCCTACTGTTTGAATGATGAGCATCACTTGACTACCCACAAGCTTGATATGTGAGGGTGATTGCTTACATTGTCTTTACCATCTGTACCTGGTCTTTCTCAGGATGTGATATCTTATTTTCCAAAGATATTTCATAATTAAGACAAAACAACATGTGCATATGCCACACATTGACTACCTTGGCATAAAAGCATTATGCATGGGCACAGTGATGTCATGCATAATGCTTTTAACCAGGCTGATACGAATGAGCTGAGTGTTTAATGCATGTAAGACCACCTTCACTTGGGAGAAATTCCAACAACAAATGGCATCATTCACATAATTGGGCCAGCCTGACCATAGGGTTGTACATTTTTCTGGGGTTTAACATATATGTAATGTAACATTTTACCCCAGCCACCCACAGCATGTTTACCACAGAATTCGGTGATGTTGGTTTTCTTGGGAATATATGAGATGGGAGGGGATTTGTCTCATGCTGAGCTGGCAGACCAGGCCCATCAATGATCATAGGCATCTTTTGCAGCTCTCATATACTGTGAGCTTAGTTGGGGGTAAGATTGTTATTATTTCATTTTGAAAGATAAGATGACTCAACATCACTGTTTTCTTGTTACCATTGGGACAAGTGTGTTATGCCTGAAAGACGTTTTCCATAGACCGCTAATCCAACAGGTGGCCTAGATTCCAAAAAATGCTGAGGTACATTTCAGGGCTCTGGAATGTACTATCAGACATGTTTTTGATTTAGTTATTTGGATGAATTAAAGCATGCATGCCAAATCAGCACACAGATTACAGTGGTGTTTATGATCATGACACCTGTCATGCTATGAGCAATATAGAAAATGAGGGTGCCAATTTCATTGGGTAGGGGATATGTGGTTGTCTACTCCATGAAACTTTGTTAAGTTTTGGCACCATCTAAATGTGAAAATTTTTAGTTGTTAGCATTTTGTTGTCTCTACACCAAGCAAGGTGTCTCCCAGGCTCAAAATGTTGTTGTGGAATACATTTACATTTCTGCATTTGTAAAGCAGGAGTAGATAATGTCAAGGTTTTCAGTTGTTATTTATCAGTGGCATTTTCATATGAACTTATGGTATTCTAGAATACAGTGTCAGCAGTTTCTTCAATGTTTTCTGCAGTGTCATGCATTTCTTTGTTTGATGATGTGGATACAGGCCAGAATGGTGGTTCGACTGCTAACGATTGACGCCTCCAGCCGGCCACGCACACTCGAGCTTCGACGCGGCTCTGTCGGGCGTGGTGGGCGAGCCGACGCTGCACGGCGCCGTGCTGCTGGGCCAGCTGCTGGAGCTGCTGCGGCCCGGCGGGCGGCTGCACGCGCGCGACTCGCGCCGGGAGCAGGCCGCCAGGCAACTGACGCTGGCCGGCTTCACGGCCAGCGCCAGCTGTGCCGAGCTCGGCGGATACGTCACCGCCCGCAAGCCCGACTTTGAGGTGAGCAGAGCCTGGCGGCTGGAGCGCGCCGAGCAGGACTCGCTGCTCCGTAGGGACTAAGGACGTGGCAGGCCGCGGTGAACTTGCTTGGCGTACTCTGGATGAGCACCAGCAGTGGTCAAAGGTTAAAGGATTTCCTGTTTATTTGGTTTGTTTATTGTTTTATGCTTGCTTTATAGTTTTATCTTTTTCAAAGCTGGTAAGAGGAAAATTTTCGGCCTTGGGTGTGCTGGCTCTGCTTCTTTTCACGTTTGTTCCAGTTTGCTAACTAACGTGCGCATCTATTGTTAAAACCAGGGCTTCCAATCTGCGTCCTCATAAAGGCTGTGTCTCCTTGTGTAGGTGTGTTTAAAATGTACCTTTCCTTTTGGCAGCAAACACCCTGATAGCTGTGCGTTGCTCTTCTACGAACATTGGGGCCAGTATCTGGTCTCGCTGGTTTCGGTTCCGTTCGTTCTGCCCCTCGATGGTGTCTTGCCGTTCCGTGTTTCCTCCCAAATGGACCCATGTTCTCACCCTCGCCGGTCCGTGTTGCCTCCCACTGGCCAGTGTTCCGTCTCTCGGGATACCGAGGTTCGTCCCCAACGGTCCGTGTTGCCTCCCACTGATCAGTGTTCCGTCTTTCATGAGCCTGGGGTCCGTCTCTCACCGGTCGGTGTTGCCTCCCACCGGCCAATGTGCCGTCTCTCACAAGCCCGGGTCTCGTCCCTCACTGGCCCGGGTCTCGTCCCTCATTGGTCCGGGTCCCGTCGCTCACCGGTCTGGGTCCCGTCTCGTCGGGCCCAGCCCCGTTTCTCACCGGGCCCCGTCCTTTCCAGGTGGGCTCGTCGGCACCGCTGAAGCTGCCGGTGGCCGCACCGTCTGCCGCCGCGGCCGCCGTCTGGACCCTGTCTGGCCAGGACGCGCTGGACGACGACCTGGACCTAGTAGACGAGGACGAGCTGCTGGACGAGGAGGACCGGCAGCGGCCCGACCCCGCCTCGCTGCGTGGTACGCCCCCCTCCCCTCCCCCTCTCCGACTTCGCACCTGCCGTGTTCCTCACAGTTCCGTCGTCTATCCTTCCTCGACCCTTGCAATCTTTTTTTACATTCTGCTGGCGCCTATCATCTAATGCCAACTGATAAATTCTGTAAATTTTTCCAAATCTGCCTTTGTCTCTTAAGTTAATGCTCTGAAATTAGCCATGCGTTTTCAGCGTAATGGGACCAACCGTGCCGATCCTTCGACTTGAGGACACAATGTATGCATCGCTATTTTGTAAAAGACCCGTACTGTAGACGCCTACCGTTTGGAGGGACTCTTGCTACACGTGCATGCCGATGTCTTCGACCGTGACCGTAACACGCGCGACGCCGCCACTGCCAGTGTGCGGCACTACCGGCAAGAGGAAGGCCTGCAAGGACTGCTCGTGCGGCCTGGCCGAGGAGCTGAGCGCGGGGAAACAGCCGGCCACCAAGTCGGTCACGTCCTCCTGCGGCAGCGTGAGTGTGCGGGCTCGGCCGGCCAGCGCGTCCCGACCCGTCCCCGTCCTGTTCATGATTGAAGGGTGCGGCGTTGCAGTGTTTGCGCGCGTATGTTTTGCAAAAGTTCGTCCCCAGATTTGTACCTCAGGATGTGTATCGTATGAGAGCCCCTCTGTACATGACGCCCTGCCCTCAGTGCACTGCCCTGCACTGCCGCTTGGTGGACAACTGTGGGAGCTGCGTGGTGAGTGGCTGTTCCGAACCTGGGCCTTGGCGGTCAGCTGTGTGCTGCGTGGTAGGTGGCTGCGTCGAACCCGGTCGTCGGAGATCACTGGCTGACACCTGTTCCGTCTCCTCTCCGCCAGTGTTACCTGGGCGACGCTTTCCGCTGCGCTAGCTGTCCGTATCTGGGAATGCCGGCGTTCAAGCCGGGTGAGAAGATCCAGCTGTCGCAGCGGCAGCTGAATGCCGACGCCTGACGGATAGCGACTGCCTCCTTGTCTGAAGTGATAAACACCTCCCTTCTGTAGCGAACGCGACGTCGACGCACCTCCCTGTGGGCGGAACGCGCAGTGGAGGTGTGGGCCTCTGGTCTAATGTCTCTGACCGAACAGCCTTGGCACGCCACGGTCTATTTGGGTTTCTCTGATGTACTGGGTCCGGGATATTGGGTCGGTAGCGATGTCGGTGCTGTTGCGTGCGACGTAAAGGTCAGGCGGCCGCACTCAATCGATGTTGACGGACTGTCCTTGTGTGGTCGGGCGGGGTGATCTCACCAGGAGAGGCCAGCGCGCTGGCGCTACACGGGCGATTGCTGCCTGTCTGTGACGGTTTTCAGCTCTCTGTGCCCAAAATTATTATTTCCTTTTGTCCTAAGTGAATCAGTGCAGTGAGGACGGAGTGCAGATGGAAATGGTCGTACGATTTTCGTCTGCTATCGTGTTGAACCCATATTAGTCACGCGTACACATATATGTATTTGTTGTAGCGTACGATCGTAATAAATAACAAATGACTCGATCTACTAAGCGTTTTAACGCAAACATTCGACTACAGATGAGCGTCTACGCGGCGACGCCGAGGGCTCTACGGGCTTCAGCCGGTCGTGCGACCGACCACAGGCTGCCCTCGCAGACACGGACCCAACAGCAACACCTCGGCACGGACGCCCACTCACCCACGAACCTACACTCGTACACGTACCGCTCGCCGTCGAAACAGAGCGCATGGGTGCAGGGGGGGGGGGGGGGGGGGGGGGCGCAGACTGCGGTGCAGTCCGCAGTGTCCTCAGCCGGGGGAAAGCTGCGGAGGGACAGACTGGTGCAGTTCGCAGTCTTCCCAGCCGAGAGAAGGCTGCAGGGGGGGGGGGGGGATTAGACTGCGGTATTGTCTACAGTCTCCCCATCCAAGAGAAGGCTACAGAGGGACAGACTGGTGCGGTCTGCAGCCTCCCCAGCCGAGAGAAGGCTGCAGAGGGACAGACTGGTGCGGTCCGCAGTCTTCCCAGAGGAGAGAGGACAGTAGAGGGACAGGCTGGTGCGGTATGCAGTCCCCGCAGCCGAGAGAAGACTGCAGAGGGACAGGCTGTGGTGCAGTCCGCAGTCTTTCCAGCCGAGAGAAGGCTGCGAGAGGGGGGGGGGGTAGACTGGCACTGTCTGCAGTCTCCCCAGCCGAGAGAAGGCTGCAGAGGGACAGGCTGTGGTGCTGTCCACAATCTCCCCAGCCGAGAGAAGGCGGACCGCTTGAGGTCTGTCGAGCTCACGACAGCGCTTCCTTTGATTTCGCTTCATCACGTAGACATTCCCTAATACAAATCTCGGAACCACACGTTATGACAACAACAAAGATGCTGAAACACGTGATCCCCGACAACACAGTATGACGTACCGAGCATGTGTGACGCCTGCCTTGTCAGCCCCAACGGCACGACGACTGGGAAAAACACTCACAGATGTGCAGAACCCGGAGTCTAAGCTGTCGGATCCGACGCGTCTCGTGCAAGCAAAATCCTCCACATTCACGCAGCGCGCGCTGGTCGCGGGGTTGCGACTGTCCGCATGACGCCCGGTGATGGAGTTCTTGGTCGATGTGTTGGTTTCCGCCTGCAGTGAAGCCTGTCAGGCGCCACAGTGGTCCTCCACTGGCGGCCGGCGTGCCGCTGGAGGCAGCGGGCGCCCCAGCTGACACCGCCGCCGCCGTGGCTCAAACGGTCGTCACCGTCACAAAACCTGGCGCACTGCGGCCGGGACACTGGCTCTGCCGGTGCTCGAGTTCGTGCCGCGAAGACGCCGTCGCAGCCCTCCTGCGCCGCCCTCATCTCTGCTGCTCAGTAGTCGCACATGAACCATCACACCCGTCTCGCGAGGCGACGCACTGGTGCGTGCGGGTCGCTCGTGCCCTCTCCACTGAGCGCCGCGCGACTCCGATACGGCGATCCGCGACCGACCGGCGCGCGGCGGAGGCGTTGTCAGAGCGGCGGCGCCACACGCCGGCTGACGGGCGCCGCGGCCGCCGCCTGAGAGAGGCGGCCGGGCAGCCGGCGGCGCTAACCGGGGTCTGTCACCACCTCGGCGAGCAGCACGCTGTGGCGCAGCGCTGGTCGCTCGCTGTAAGGCGGCGGCTGCTCAGGCGCCGCGGCCGGCTCCACGCAAATGCGAGTGAGGGCGGCGCCGTCGCCGCCGGCGCCGCACACGGCGCGCCGCTGCCGCTCGCCGGAGCCGGGCGGTCGTGGCGCCTCCTCGCCAGCGCGCTCGCGTTTCTTCTCGAGGAGGCCGGCCGGCGGGCCGTGCGGGTACAGCGCTTCGTATGGGGGCGGCTCGGGCGCGCCGGGCCGCGGCGGCGCCGGCTCGCGCGCCGGCCGGGCCCGGCCGCCCGGCTCGGCCGCCTCGCGGCCCGTCGTCCAGCGCACGGAGCGGATGAAGTAGCTGACGGCCACCACCAGCAGCAGCACGATCACGGCGAATCCCGCCCATGTGGCGAAGAAGTGGTCCGATTCTGGCGACGGAGGGCGTCAGGATTCAGGTCAAGCCGGCGCACGAACGGCGTACGATTCAGACCTGCGCCTTTGTGTACATCGCCGTGACATCGACGCTCGCTACCGTGGCGGGTTAGCCCTGCCGATTCCCCTGCATTATAACACAAACATTTTATGTGTGATTTCAGCTGCCAACATCCGTAATTGGAAGTAGTCCTGCTGTTTCTCCAAGGGCAGTCAACAATAAACATCAAACAACCACGCACGTCTGGCTTTAATTTGACCACAGAGTCACTGGATTGCCACACCAGCGTCGGCCTGCGCAGCGTCGTTCCGACCTGAGTAGGTTCTCGTTCAGCTCAGCTCGGTCGACCCAGGCCGGACTTTTGCAAAGGTCGTAGCTCCGCCCACTTGTCGATTTGGCAACGGAGAGGTGACGTGAGGTCAGGGAACTGAGCTGGAACTGGCTCGAACCAGGAGACCTGCGTCACGGTGTCTACCGAAGCGCGACCGTGGCGCCGGCGACGCCGGTCGGTTGCGTGCCGTCACCTGAGATGGGCCCCGGCCGCACGCCGCACGTGGTGCTGTACTCGTCCTCGTTGTTGATGAAGCCGCAGTTGGGGTGGCCGTCGCAGACCAGGCTCTGGCTGATGCAGCGCTCACGCTGACCCACCGGCTCGCCGTTCACGCAGAGGAAGCGGCCGGAGCCGCAGCCGCCGAACAGCTCTGAGCACAACACCGCGGCTGTCACGAAATGGCTGGTGGTTTACAGCAGATATCAGTAGTATGGGTAGTGAAAAATCGGGTGAATAGTGAAGTTGCTGGGCGAAATATCATAACACAGTTACATCAAGCCCTTTTTTGTGGGTACATTAGTGCATTTCTTATTAATTGTACTAGCTCCGACTCTTTTCGATAGTAACAATTTGGATTAAACGTAATTACGGGATGGGTGATCTCAGAAAGCAGGACACTAGCAGCCGAGTGTGTGCGGCATCCCCTGATGACCGTTTTTAAACATTATTATATCGGAAACCGCCAAATTTAAGTGCATTGACGATGTAAAAGGCCACTTTGACGTAGGTCAAAGGTGACAGTCATCAGACTCCCACCAGACGGCTTATCACTTGTTTATTTATTTCACCGCTATAGAGCATCCAAACTAAATGTGACAATTGATAGCCCAGTATTATAGGATAGCAAACAATAGGTATATACATCGGCTTAGCAGTGTTACGGATTACTTTCATCAGGTATGCGCACTGAACAAAGTGGTGGTGCGTTATAACCTACCAAAATTGCGCATGGAAAAAAATAAAAAAAACAATGCAACATATTAATGACAAAAGTAGACAGCTACAACAAAGACAGAAAATGCGGAGCATCAGTCGTTTACGTACCGAACCTGACACCCGACGGATCAGAAGACAGCCTGGGAGTGACGCGGATACAGCACGGGTGCCAGGCCGGCTGCCATAAACCATACACTCTTTAACCTAGCTACAATGTAACAAATCTAGCTCAAAAGTGTGTGTTGCTTCTCCTTGCTATTGCCTGACATGGTTGGAACGAAGTTCTTTTGTACATCCGTTTTTTTCCAGTTAAGCCTCTGCCAGGTGGTAAACACTTGATGCGCACAACCAGTTAGCGAGGCAAATCCAGGCAACAATATTAGATGTGCGGAGTACAACCCTCACAACCAATGCCAACCGATTGTCCCTGAAGTTAACCCGCTGGTGTTTCGTGCGAGCGCGTTTAACCGATTTGTCGACCACAGCAGCCGGGAAACTGCAAATGGAGCATGCATTGTCCTCCGGCTCAATCGATGAGGCTGCGAGCAGATGATTGAAAATCCTTACGCAAACTGCACAGAGCAGCTTGGTTATAAATAATAAAGCTGCACAAATTACTCTCTTCTCGACCCTGCCTCTGATGTCAAGAGTCCCTCCACCAAAGGCCCCCGCAACGGCAGGCGGCTGTGCTCGGGCAGGGACGGCGTGATGTTTATTGGAGTGGTCATATGGTCATATCATATGGGCAGAGGCGCACTGACTGAACCACGAAACTGCGTTAAACCTCGGACCTGCTGGAGGTAAAAGCCGACAGCAGCGTAGGCGACCCGCAGCAGATGTCTTAGAAGAGTATGGTGTCGAACACAAGTGTGGTGTAGGTGCTGTATTCTCGTTCTTGAAAGGAAGTTATAGCAGCGCTTGATCGTTTGCAGCAAAATGTTAATATTCCGACCCGTTTCTGTTCTATTCTTTTTTAACCCATACGGGCACAGGTCTGTGGATGCTACGTACAATCTATAATCTTTATAGATAAGATCATGGGTACTGGTGCAGTATAGTGCGGCAGAAAAGACCCAAAGCTTTCAAAATGTCAAACATGACATTTCCATTGCGTAAAATAAATTCTAAAAAACCAAGGAGAGGTCATAGTGAAGGAGCGCACTGCCTACTACATAACCACAGCGAACTGTGGCGCGTTTGGTGACGCTACACTACTTTCTGCCCCCTCCCTTCCCCTTAAAAGTCCTTAAAATGCATGTTCTGAACTGCCGCCCCAACTTGTAAAGCGATTCTTTACCACTGCTTACGGAAGCGGACCACTGCCCTTCCGGTTTTGGCTTTCGAGCAAAAAATACCCAGCCATGCAAAAAGCGTAGCCTGACATTGTGGACCTCGAACACGTGTCATTTTCAGATTACACGTCATGTGCGAAGGCATGCAGCTCACGTTCATTGAAGTAGGCCGTCACGACAACGGTGAAGGCCGGGGGCCACGCCACCAGGTCGATGCCTCCTCCTGGCACGTGCGCAAGTAGGTCAATCCGGCGCGCTGCGCAGTCATGCCCTGCGGCAGAGGACATTGAGAACGTCACTCGCGGCGCGGCATGCGACGCCGGCAAGGTCACGGCTAGGTCACAGGCAGCGTGTCGAAGGACAGGATACGGTCAAGGTCACTTGTAGGTCGCGATCGGAGAAAATGTTCAAGGCCACCAGCAGCAAGATGCAATGCAAATGTCAGATCGTCAGATCTGATATCTGACCTGATCGAATGTCAGATCGGATGTTAACGTCAGTAGCACGGCGCCGAGGGGCTTTTGAGGCCATTAACAACGGAACAGGGGCAGGACGCTCCAAGAGCATCGTTGGCGAGACAGGGAGACACAAGGTCGCCGACAGCGGGAGCGGCCGGAGAATATCGTCAATGTCACCAGTAATATATATCGGATATATGTCGGATATAGTGGATGCTACTATCAGTCAGCCATATTGAGCATATGACACTAGTATCAGGGTCGCCTGGAGCAAGCTGATAACACCGCCAAGGCCCTAAAAGAGGGCAAATGATGCTTCCCAGGCCGCTAAGTTTGGAAAGATGGCATAGACAAGGTCACCAGCAGTGCGCCAAGGTCATCGATCCGTCCGTTTGTGTGTCCCGATAACTGGATAGAGCGCCCGTCTTCCGGTCCACCTACACGTGGCGGGTGGGCTTGAGTCACTTTGAGCGTTCGCTGATTTGCCTTTGACAGGCACGGCCTGCGGCCGGCGGCAGCGGCCATGTTAAAGGTCAGGTGATGTCAGCGGCAGGACGGACCGTGCTGAGCCTTGGGGAACGTCAAACTTTCGCCGCCAAAGTCTGCCTTTTACCTCGAATTGCACAATCGGATGGTAGGGGTCAGGGCTCACACGTTAAAAACTGCTTAGCATAAGCTCTGATCCAAGAAACCGATCCATTCAAATGGTTTGGATTATTTTTGCTCACAAAATCGGCGGAAAGCAGAGATTACAACATTCCAGGTCAACAGCTGCGGGCCCAAGGAGAGGGCAAAGGTCACCAGCAATCGGCTGGCTTATTCGGAGTATGACGTCTCGAGAAGAGTTGAGAAGCCTTTTTATAATTGTTAGGTAAACACGAGCCTTAAATGTTTGAACAATCAGGTGGTAAAGCGTGATCCTGCAAAGTGAGCGCGCGTTGAAATGGGTTTGAAATGTTGTCTGTATGATGATTGTAGCAATTAATTTTGTGGATATTTTCACATGCACAGTTTTAGCATCTAGTTCATACAACGCAATATTTCCCACAAACTTCTGGTGAAGCCTCGAAAATCCCGGAGCCATGAACTGTCTCCCTAACCGATATGAGTGAATAACATGCGAGATCGCGTAGACAACTCTTGGCTTCTTGCAGGGCGTTCAAAGTCGTGACCTCTGGAGGTCGCAGAGGACAACACTGATGTCCGTGACGGCCAGTTATAACACATCATCCTGGATAAATAGGAGGGATTAACATGTAACCGATATAAACCTGTCTGAATTTAATCTGCGTACCAACTGCGTCAAAGGCTTTGGTAAAAGCAGTAGCGCGGCCGACTCAGGGGTCTTGCCAGGTTCTGTGACGACCTTGCGCGAACATATATACACGACACATTTTCAGACAGCGTATGAAACGACGAGTCGACTGCTGGCAATTGTATCATCGGCATCGGATGGCATTTATTCCAAAGATCAACCCTTAAATGTCTCGAAATAAACAGTGCTTTGTCCAAAACCTCATTTGCTATTGGTTTTACCACTGGGGTCTGTGACCTGTAGAATCCTGACCATTTTCTTTTCTTCAAAATTCGCTGCGATTGCAGGGCATCCGAGATAACGTGCATAACTCCCGGCTTTTTGTGAGGCATCAAAGGCTGCGGTCGCTTAAGGTCACCAAATGTCAAATCGATGTTCGGCGCTGACATTTAACACGCGATGCCGGAAAAGCAGGGTGAAGCGATGCGTTGAAACCGATCTAAGCCTATCTTAATTGAACCTGCGTCCCAAATGAGACAAAATTGCGCGGTGATGGAAGCAAGGTGATCGACCGTGGGGTTAGGTCATGTCATGTCAAGAGATGACCTCGTGTGAGCAAGTATGAATAACACGTTTCCAGATGGCGCATGAAACGACAAGTTAAATTATTCCAATAAGATTACCGAAATCCGCTCGTTCCATAACATGCATGTCTCAGAATACCACGCGAAAAAGAAACAAGTAATCTGGTAACCATTTGAATATCCACGCATATCAAGCACACAACACCTTCTTAAGGCGCTCTATCGCTAACACCTCGAGGCAAAACCATACACGAGAAGAAGAAAATCAAAGTCAAGTGTGAGCAGCAACATGTCCCAGAGCGGAAGACCTCTGCTTCACCTGGCACGAGACTGACTGATACACCGCGGCTGTTATCAGAACGCGGTCGAGGAGTCGTAAGCCTTCCACAAAGAAGGCGTAATACCACTGTGGACCCGACTCAGCCCCATATGGTCCGGACACCTAATCCGCATGTGCTGCGGGGAGGACGGCATAAACACCAGCTGGGTGGCAAGCACGGCTGCGAAAAGGAACACACGTTGGCGGGCCAACTGGGTAGTGAAGCCAACGCTGAGAGCACGCGAGGGAGCCGGCCGGGCAGTATATGTCTTCTTGTGCCCTTTAATGGCTGCTGCCATTTTCCAACGTTAAACTCAGGAGAGGCTCCGACTGGGAAGGGACGCCTGGGTCTTCTCTAAAAGTCGAACTGCATCACGTGAACAAAATGGTCATCAGATGACCTGACATGACCTCGCCTCTGCACCAGCCACCATACAGGCTGCATTTTTATAGTACGGGGTAATCGACACGCGCATTTGATTGCGCCAAGTTTAGATTAATTTCCATTCATAATTTAATCATGCCTCCCACCATAAGGTGATGGAACTGGAAGTGTCATACATAGATCTGGTCTTCGGTGACCTTCAGAGGTCACAGGTTTTGATGCCCCACAAAATGCCGAGAGCTGCTTATATCACCTCATGTGTTCTGCGCCTGTAAATGATTTGACAGAAATCAAAGAGGTCGGGATTTTCCGGTATTTAGGATCACTCGTTTAAAACGAGAACGAACTTGCGCTAATCTCCCAGGATTTTCAGTCTCACACAAATATGAAATTATCTACAAAGCATGCACCATGTTATATACTTTTATATAAATATATATTATAAATGCTATTGACATCAATCGACGCCCATTTCAAAAACTGTGTGGAAATATGTCGTATATTTCTGCTCGCGCAAAGATCACCACGTGACCTAACATTATCTCACCTCTGGGTTGGTCATCGTACTTTTTCACTTTAAATATGCGATGCAATATGTACGCAGATTCATTAAAACAGGATCAGATTAATTTCAATAGTTCACGATGGTTATCCTGTATTATGCATTATAGTTGTCAGCATCCAATATCGATGTGGTCTTTGGTAAGCTCCAGAGGTCACGGCTTCCAATGCGCCGCGAAAGCCAGAGTTGTCCTCGTGATAGTATAAGTTCTTTACTCACGGATATTTTTTTAAATCAAAAGGGTTGGAATTTTCCAGGTTATATTTTCCTGTCAAGTTAACGGAACATAGAGCATTGAGACAGGAACTTCTTGTTTCGAAACATGTATTAATCTATATCATAAGTATATGCCTCGATCCGCTCATTCGATGACTATTCACAGGGCCTTCTGGCTGTACATGACCATCCAGATCGGATGGCTTATAACGTATATCCTGTTGGTTAAAGCGGCTCGCCTGTTTACCGCTGTACCTTAAACCGCTTGATGCCCCACGAAGAACCTCTGCCCGACGAATCAGAGGTCCCCGGACTATCGTTGGCGCAAGGTTCGAATTTCTCTTAAATCAGACTCCCTTCTTCGAATCTCTCTTAAATCAAATGTCTGATGAATGTTAAATGTTATGAGGATGTTATGATCAATGTTAAATCAAATGTCGTCGATTTCTGGTCGGCTATACTCGATATCGAAAATCGAACTGCTGCCGACTTCACAGACACTGTTGCTCCTTGAATCTGACGTTCACTATGTTGACCTCATGTATAATCTATCTATAATAAAGAATGACAAAACAGTATCAGCAAAATCGAAGCCGTCATCTGAGAGCTGTCGTTGATCTTTGGGTGACGTTTGCACGGTCGAACATTCTCTTATAAACCACTTCATTGAGACTGTGCAGCGTCAGCACGAACCTTCAACTTGGCCTACTCAGAACTTCTGCCAGCAAGCATCTTTCCGCAACGATGCGCGGTCCGTTGCCAGCATCACAAAGAGTTCTCAAGAACCTGCAGAGCTGAGCCAGGCCAAGGCAGGGCCGTCTAAAACGAATTACCCGGAATCGCTTCGATAGGGAACGAGCTTAACAACGCAAACGTGGCTGGCGTGGCATCATGGCCGGCCTTTGAAGTGAAGTTTAACACAAGAACTATTGCGATATTACCGGGCTGGCATCAGCGTTCGGGGCGTTCCAGCGCAGCCTTGTTGAGGTTTGGGCTGCTGTGGTCGGGCCGTCACGTGTGCCCCTAAACAGTCTGGATGGAGGGTGATAAACGAAGAAGCCTTGTGCTCACAGTGAGGAGGAATAAGTTCCAGACGGTTGTATTCAATATCAACATCTCGTCTTCGCCCGCAGCTGGTTTATACAGAACGCGCGCTCCTTTCTTGCCGCACGGTTATAGACAGGTCACTGTTACAAATCAGTAAAGAGGACTTGAGGGTGAAACACAGGCTATATAACACACGTTCGGCAATTGTCATAGACCACGCATGGAAGGCTACGTTAATGACCATTTTTTCTCATGCAAACAGTTTTCACCATCACGCCACCTGGTATCGAACACCACAAAAAGTATGGACAGCCTATCTTCAGATCCTCCATAAGAAATCAAAGCTCAAGGGTGGAATTATGCGGAGAGAGGGGCAGCCAGGATTTGACCCACAGCCCTGAGCAGGGGCACGGCCGTGGCCTTGATAACGGTGGGCCACAAGCTT